TTGTTTTATATTTTTTTTTCTGTTGCTGCCATCTAGTGTTTAATCTATGTTATGTCAAATCCATCCACATTTTCAATAAAATTCACATTGCAGAGCTTAACTATCACAAATGCATTCTAGGATCATAGATTTAGAGCTGGAAAGGACCTCTAGTTCTAAAGTCCATTTAGTATAACCATGCAATTTTACAGATGAGGAAACTGAGGCCTAAAGAGGGAAAATGATTTGCTTGATGATTCAGACATGTAGCAAGTAGAAGGACCAGGATTCGAATTCAAGTGCTACAGCCCCAAAGGTAGCACTCCTCTGAAGGCTGAAATGACAAAGGTAATTCTGTATTCCAATACAGGGTTCAGAAAAACAGCGCCTCTTTCATCTGGCTTCTACAAATTCTCTAAAATGAAATATCTTCCACAGCAAATGCTTCGCCTAATCATTTTCATAATAATAGACTGTACCAAATAACCAGATTCTTTTTATTTGTGGCTGGAACAGAGCTCCTTATAGATAATCGTTCAGCCATCAAGCAATAATAACTCTCCAACTCTTCCCATCTTTCTCGGTATCTCAAAAATGTCCTTCAGATAAGCCCAACCAAATAAAGTATTTGTTTTCAAAGCTAGAGCTAGAAGGGCCATGTGATATAGAGAGAGGAGAGACCCTTATGATCATCTGGTCAAATCCCTTGTTACAGAGGAAGAAACCCTCTTCTCTGTCACACATCCAAATCCAGATATAGGAGGGAAAAAAAATCATTCTCAAATCTACCTTTGCTCACAACCCCCCCCCCCTGCCAAGTTGTTGCCAACGCCTGTTGATTTCACCTTTGTAACAATTCTGGAATATGCTCCCTTCTCCCCTCAGACACTGCCACGGCTTGGGTACAGGTCCTCATCACCTCATGCCTGGACGATACTAGCTGCTGGTGGGTCCATCTGCCTCAAACCTTTTCCCATTCCATTCCATCCTCCATTCAGCCACTGAAGTCATTTTTCTAAAGTGCAACTCTGACCATGTCATTTCCCCCCAACTAAATTCTAGTGGCCCCTTATCACCTTCAGGATTAAATACAAAATGCTCTATTTGGCATTCAAAATCTTTCTTAATCCAGCCCCCTCCTAACTCCTGGTTTTCTACACCTCTCTCCACACTATACCCCCCCCAACACACTTTTCCATCTAGTGACATTGGCTTCCTGGCTGTTCCACAAACAAGATACTCCAAATCTCAGCTCCAGGCATTCTCTCGGGCTGTTTCCCATGCTTAGAATGTTCTCTTCCCTCATCTCCACTTCCTGTAGAAGTCCCAAGTTCAAGTTCCAAGATTTCAATTTCCAACTAGTACCCTCCCCATATATAGATATAGATAGATAGATAGATAGATAGATAGATAGATAGATAGATAGATAGATAGATAGATAGATAGATATAGATATGAAGAGAGAGTCTGCTTTGTATGTACGTTTGCTTGTTGTCTTCCCTGTTAGACTATAAGCTCCTTGAGGGCAGGGATGGACTTTTGCCTCTTTTTGTATCCCCAGCACTTAGCACAGTGCCTGGCACCTAGAAGATGCTCAATAAATGTTTGATTGATTGAAAGGCAGAGGACTAAAGCCACGATAAGGAGTAAATGACCTCAACCTTATTCTCTGATATTACAGGCTCGAAAAGGTCTGTCAGGTAGCTCCAGTGTGCGCTTCCCTGACAGGCAGAATAAACCATAAGGTGGCACTACGAGACTGAGGGCAAAGAGTAGAGTGATACCATGGAGGATACTCTGGGAAAGGAAGACCAACCAGAAAGGAAGAACTATGTTGATTTTCAATGAGTTCGAGTCCCTTTCTGTACATTCTGAATTTATAAGGACTTTACGTCTGTATTTTCTATGGTATGAAATAAAGTGTATCTTGTACCTGCTATGTTTTGTTACATTGTGTTTGTCGAGGAGTTAGAGATCCTTTTACTCACATCTATGGGAATCTAAACGTGAGCCAAAGAGACATCAGATCTTTTTTGGTGCCTCCTCTTAGGCTGGTATAGCCCATGTGAAGAACAGAGCTTAAGATCTTGAACTGTCCAACTCCCCACACCCAAGATGAATGCAAAGTATCTGAGAGGAGGATTTTTTGCTTTGCTTCGTTTTGTTTCTTCAGTGCCTTGTATATATAAGCAACACAGCAGTTGTATGTTGCAGTGGGTAAGAGTGCTGGACTTAGGAGTCGGGAAGAGCCAAGTTCGAATTCTGCTTCAGACACTGACTGGCTGTATAAGTCACATATCTCAGCCTCGAGTTTTGTTATCTGTGAAGTGAGGATAATGGCAGCACCCACCTCAAAAGGTTGAAGTGGGGATCAAAGGAGTTAATGTAAGCACAGCAAAGCGCTCTTCAAAATGCCATTACTGATGAACTGAAATGAATTTCAGCAATGTGCTCATTACTACCAAGTTTATAATTCCTTTGCAAGAAAACAAGCTGAATGTCCTACTTACTATTCATGAAATTCTTGGATAACTCAATATGAAATCCAGAGCATCATAGCTCTTCTCAACTGAAAGTCAAGCTCACACGAAGACAGAAGACATTCCTTTAAGACGCAAGGAAGACTTAGATCATTTCTGGCCTCTGAGAAAGTAGTCATCAACAATGCAGTGTGATCCTTGAAGGGATGACAGAATTCCTTGCTTACATCCTTGCCCTTTTTTCCCCAGTGGGTCCCTATGCTAGATGCCAAACACATGGCTGGGTTCTCATTTTTTTACCTCCCATTGTCCAATACAGTGTCTATACACAGAGGTACTCAAGAAATATGTTGGATATTTTAAAATGCAACAAAAATGTTCATCAAGCAGATTGTTCGTGCCACTGCCAGTTCAATCTTTATAATACACAGACCTCTGATCATGTCACTGCTGTTCAGCATCCTTCATTACCTACATCAGAGGCCAAGTTCCTCACCTAGCTTCTAAGGCCAAGCACAATCTGTCTCTAACCTAGCTTTCACACTACTCTCCTTACCTACTAGGGTTTAAACTGATTTTCCATTGTATAAGCCTGGAATGCCATTGCTACGTTCACCCAGAGGCAGCTGGTGGCACAGTAGAGTGCTAGGCCTCTTGTCCAGAAGATCTTAGTTCAAATCTGGCCTCAGACGCATACTAGATGTGCAACTCTGGACAGCTCAAGTTGATTATGTAAATGGAGACCGTAATAGCACTTGTCTCCCAGGGCTGTTAAAAGGGTCAAATGAGCTAGTTGTAAAAAACAAAACAAAAAAGCACTTAGCACAGCGTCTCGCACAGGATAGGTGCTATATACCTGCTCATTCCCTTCCTGCTAGCCTCTCCTCTCTGCCTATCACAATCCAACCCATCTGATTCAGCTCAAATGTCACCTAATCCATGAAAACTCCCATGGCCTATTTTCTTCTTTGGCCATAATACCACACTTTGAATCTCTTAGATATTTATCATACTTTTATTACGCATGTATGTGTGTGCATGTAAGTATGTATGTATGTATGTGTGTATACATATATACACACACATATATAAACACACACACACCCCCTACTAAACTCTAAGCTTCGCGAGGATAGAATCCATGTCTTAATCTTGATCCAGTCCAGCACACTGCACATACTAAAAACTTTTGTTGTAAAGCATTTTTTCCCTCCTACGCCTTTACTCAGGAAAATCTGACCTGATTGAGGTCCAAGTCATCAAAGAAATCCTCTGTTGCTGTGGTGATCTGAGTGTTGTCGCTCAAAGTTACCAACCTGTGCTAACACCCATGCCAGGAACCATCTGGGCAGAAGACTATCTTGTGAACCTCTCATCTGGGAAGCTTCAATTTGTCAAAATAGCAATTGAATACTTCAAGGATATGTGATAACCAATCAACATGGGCACACAAAATCACATAATTTTCCAGATGGAAGAGAACTTCCTGGCTATCCAGTCACGAGCTAAGCCACAAAATCCAGCAATACAGACCTCAATCCTGCTACAGCCAGTCACTGGGGCTGAAAAGTTTCCTCACTTGGGTTGCAGCCCTCCTGGCAATGAGCCTCTCTCCAAGTATTCAAAAGCCATTCTGTCCCAGGCTTGTCCTGCTGGTGGGAAGGACGTGCCACAGCTTGTGCACTTCTGGTACAGCCGTCTAGATTTTAGCTCACTCACCTCCAAATGAAGCATCTAATCTATTAACACCCTAGAATAAGAGGCCTGCCTTCTCAAACACATTCATCCCAAAAGGGTGGGAGAAAAAGGCTCACTTACCCTGCTTTGATCCCTCATCACCTCCAGGTTGCTGCTACTCAAGTCATTTTGTTAGTTGTCATAACTGAAGTGAAAGACTGATAGAATGACATAGTACCTTTGTTTCCAGAAGCAGTAACACCTAGTTTTGTCTTCACTTCCCGCATACAACGAAAACAATGATTCAGTAAACTTCATAAAACCATGAAGTATCCCAGAACGACAGCTTTGAGGGCCCACCCTCCTAGACCTTCTACTCCAACCCATAAGTGACCAAGAATCCCCTCTATAACAAATGAGCAGCTCTCTTTCTGAAGAGTTCCAGTAAGGGGGGGCCCCGTTTCGCAGTTTTTCCTTATTATCTGTCAAACCTCAGTCTGCCTCTCTTGCACTTCTACCCATTGCTCCTAGCTCAGCAGTTTTGTTTTTTTAAACTCTGACACTGTATTCAGCTTTTTTATAAATTAGTTTTACCTATGAGTAAAAGCGCCATTTACTGAGCACAAATACCACAATTGCAGCTGGGTAGAAAACAGCTTTCTAAAAACTCGGAGACTTTGAAGATGATCAGATGCCAACTCAGTAGTTAGAACTCATTACACATCCTGAAGATGAAGACACGAGATTCAGAAATTTCTGGAAGCAAATTCAGTTCAATGGGACTACTCTGCAAAGATCTAACTTTATCATTTTGGATGCTTATCTTTCCCAGTTACGAAGCAATACAAAAATCGAATCCAAAGCAAGAGTTTATCTTTTTTATTAAGACACAGCTGGAAAACGATAACATCTCAAATTACATAAGTGAACTCCCCCCAAAATTTACAGATTTACATGTTTATAATACAAACACTAACAGCTCATTGCATATAAATATTACATTTGGTCTGCCATCACTGGGTGGCATCAAAAATCCCTGAAGTATATTTATTTAAAGGGACCTGAGATTGAGGCTGTAAATATATGGGCATAAATATCCCTTGAAAATCAACACCCAAACTAAATGTATTAGTTCAATCTGGTTTTGTGCATTTTTGGTGGCCTGCTTTAAACTGTCAGGAACACATAAAATTGTTAAGAGGTTAGACAGTACTTAAACTTTGTTCTGAGCTCAACTGGAAAAAAAAAAAAAGGAACAACCCCAAACTGATCTTCCCCAGTCAATACTGCTGTAAAGAATATATTACTTTTTCTAATGAAAAACAACACTTAATATATGAAAATATTAAGACTTAAGGAAGAAATTTGAAAAATGTTTCTTTAATATTTCGAAGGGAGTTTTTTAACTTAATAAAACCAAATACTTTTTTTTTTCACCCTCCCAATTCACATCAGCCAAAGGCCACTGTCATAGTCACTGGGGGTGCCAGAAAGAGATGGGTGATAACAACATTTCTCAAAACAGTTTATTTCTTGAATTTTGTACAACAGATAGCAAATGCATAAACATGCAGTCCAGTCCTTGGCCTGCCAAATAATCTCGAAGCCAGTGAAGTTCTGAGTATTGGGAGGGAAGTACATGGCTAAACACAGAAGGTATGGAAGGAACTAGGCTGAAAAGTCCCTATTAGCTGACAGAGTGTTAGCTCCTTCAGCTTCTGGCTCGTAGTCACCCCCACCCTCCCTCTATCCCTCCCAATCCCGCCCAACACCACAAACTGCCCACCCTTTGCCCTCCCCACACATTTTAGTAAAGCACCACTTATAATGTTACAGTTAAGACTGCAGGCAATTCTGCCATAAATCAAAAATTTCAGGGCTTTGTGGCTCAGCTAGAAAATCTTGTTGTGAGCCAGAGGAGGGTCTTAGACATCTCATTTTCTGAGGTCTAAAACACAAGTGTTGAGACCAAAGTTTTGCAGGCCGACATTTTAACACAGCAAGATGCCCAGATTTCAAGTGTAAACATCAGATTTACCACCACTAAAAGTGACCCAACACATATTAGCAGTAACTGTTTCCCAGGTGAAGAGAATCCTTCATTCTCTTAGATAGCAGGAGGCTCCTTATGTCTCTCAGGTAAACATCATTTTAAAAACATTCTGTGGCAGAGAAAAGAACCAAAAAATGTAAACGCCAAGAAATGACATTTTGCTAAACTCTATTAAAGTTCCCATCTGGACCTACAGTAAGAAATTCCCAGTGTTACCTGCCATCTTCTTATGCTTTGCTACCGACTCTCCTCATAAGCATGAGTTAAGGCATGAAGTAGCAAGAGTGCATTTTGGCAGTGAGTTAGTCCAGTATTCCCCGCCTCCCCGCCACCCCCCCCACCCCAAGACTAGCACTGGTGGCCACTCAAAGAGTTTCCAAACAAAGTGTTCCTTTAACCATTTTTTTTGAAGGTAAGTCACATTAGCTTGGCCTTCCTTACTGAATTTTTAAGTTTCACAGACCCCTTAACCATGAACAATATCATATCAATTACTTCAGGGTAATCTCCCTTCTCAAAACATGGACCCTAAGAACAAGAAGATCACTGTGCAGTTAATACTACGTAGGGGCTTACAAAGGAATAGAATGACAAGACATAGGATAAAAAAGTCATTTGCTGATTGCCATCACCACACATTATTGGTTAAAAATTAGAATTTTTAGTACTTCCTAATATCTAATATGTCTGTTTATAGTGAATTGTAAAAATATTTTCAAACCTAGATTTCTAAATATTCTGATATCGATCGATTTTGCTTTCTAGAAAGTACTAATCCTTCTCTTCTTAATCAATAAAGGTCTCCTTTTCTCGGTTTAAGTTAAGTGTTACAATAACAAGTGAGTATACAGTTAGGCAAACAAACTCACCTTATTTAACTCTATAAGCTGTAAAGCATTTTCTATTTACACAATTGCCAGTCCTGCTGACTTGTGCTAATGTAGGTAGCAATTTTATATCATAGAAAGTGAAATAAAGAATGAAACTGGGCATGAGAGCTCCAAGAAGATGAAGGGGGGAAAAAAAGGATAATTAAGAACAGGATTATGTAAAAAATAGAACTATCAGGGAGATCTGAGTGCCACTTGTATGGCATAAATGTAGCACCTGGAAAAATGACTTTCATCTTTATATTGGCATCAAATAAAAATTTAGTAACATGGAAGTAATCACTTTCATTTCAAATAAAAAATGAAAGGGCAAGGAAAATCTCCAAGATGATTTTCAAAGCAAAAATAGTGATGAAATCATTCTTTTATGATATAAAAATCAGTCTTTGAAAAGACGTTTTGACAATGCTTCAGGTATTATAAAATATCAATGAATTAACATTCAAAAACTGATGTGAAATATCAAAAAATGTGACCTTTCCTAAAATTAGTGAATTTCAGAAATCAAAATGGTAGTGATCACTTAATATCCCGATAACAAATGACTGATACATTATATCTAATTATATTTAACTTGAGATGTTTTCAAACTTGTACAAAAATCCCAATATCTGAGGTGAGCATCTGTTGATAAAATGGCATTAACTCATTCTCAGGACATGCAAAATTAGCAACTGGGTATTGTCAATTTCTAATTTAAGCTATAATAATACACTTGTGAAAAGGCTCAGAAGTGCTGAATTTTAAAATGTCAGCAGTGGTATTCACATCATCTGTTTTCGATACAGCTACCATAGATGCCTAACAGTAAATGAGCCATAGGGAAAAAACTTAAAAAAGAGAAAGAAAAGGAAGAAATAGGATAAGGTGTAAGAGAAACAACAACATCCATTCATTTCTAATTTGCTTGGGGGGGGGTAATGGAAAAGTAAGTTTGAATTTTGAACACTTTGTTCGAGACCTCAGTTGTGCAGAATGAGCTCCATGAATTGTATTCAGTCAGCCTAGACTTCTGGGAGGGATGACAGCAGTAACACAACACTGATTTTCAGGGAAGAAAAGAAGGGAGAGAAAAAAGAGGGAAATAAAAAGGACAGTAAATTAAGGTTCAACAGAGGCACATGAATACATACCTAAACTGGACTGCCTAGAAAGTAAATCAGGAGCAGTAGTATAGAACCAAGAATTGGATAATCGTGGAATAAGCTTCTTTTACTGTCTAAACTAAGGTGTGAAGATTTGGGGGACATGCAAATGCATACAGAAATGCAAAAGCGAGCCACCACAAGGCTGGTGGGGCTTGGGGGGAACAGTTCTTATTGCTGAAAAAGAGAAACCCCAACACACACCCCAGTCCCAAATAGGCAAACCAATCTGTTATAAATATACACAGTATACTTATTGCTAGGCCCTTAAAGCATTAATATGATGAAACACTGTAGGATTGCTAACAGCTTCACTAACCATTTTTAATTTATCATATGAAGACCAAGCTCATAATGATATGTGTACATAAATACTTTTATGGACCTAAAAATAAGTGGTCTTTCCTAGAAATGAAAAATTTTGTGTTCCCTGCCCCAAACTCTCTCAATTAATCTCCTGCTCTACTTTTCCTAGGGCCCAAACAAATGGCCTCTGAGAAAATGGGAATGAGAAAGTAATGCAAAGTAAAAATCTACACAGCATCTACAGGAGACTTTAAAAAATAATATCTAAATTGAAAAACAAAAGTTCAGATATGAAAAATAAAAAGACTCATACAAACTGAGGCTATTTTTATGCATACAGAAAGTCTGCATGCAAACGGATGTTTTGCAGTCAATGAGGACTGCATTGCTCTGGCACAACCTGCTGTCTTGTTCTTAAAATTCTAACCCAAAAGATTAAGACTCACACTAGAGCCAAATGTTGCTTCACTATTAGCTTCACAGTATTTCAAGAGACATAAACTAAACCCTTCAAAGAAACTCACAGTTAACCTTATTCAAACGATCTTATACCTAGAAGAATGTTTTGGGGAATAAAATGTGATTTCTCTTTTTCAAATAAATAAATAATGCTTAAGCTAGCTAAGATTGCACAAATGGCAATTCTTCTACTACATTTTAATAGAGGAATGTCAAAAAGGAGTTTATGCTAAGATTCTATGATGGTATATACTGGAGTGCACATACTAACTGAAGTATCCATGTTGCACTGCTCAGTGTAAGGTCTGGGGAAAATACAAGCACAAGCTCTTCTAAGTACACAAAAGAGGAGTGACTGAAATAGTGCACATAGGCAAAAATGAATGTGGAGACCCAGATTGCAAAATGATGCTTGAATTTACACCATGATTAAAATGTGGCAGTGAAGTTGCACCTATAATGGAGTTTGGATTTAGTGAGGAAAAAGACTACAACAAAAAGTTATCAGTGACATTTACTGTACCAAGAAGCTTGCTTAGTGCCAATTAACATTTCACAATAACACTTTTGTTAAGCCCAAACATTATTTGTATGACAAAATGAAACAGGCTCAAGGATGTCAATCCAAGATACCTTCCTCCACTTCATTTCCCCCAAGTTTTACACGTGTGTGTGTGTGTGTGTGTGTGTGTGTGTGTGTGTGTGTGTGTGTACCCCTTTGCTCTTGATGGAATGATCAAAAATTAAATCACCCAAAAGCACGGAATGATTTGTAGTTAGCTTTGTAGTTAAGCAGTAATTTAGGTTGGCTGAATGTGAATTAGGAATCAGCTGGTTCCAAGGCTGATCCTGTAAGTAATGGTGAAGTCCAACAAATTTGCTACTGTTTAAGTCAGACATGATCTTCATTCCATCATAAGAGCTAAATGTCTGCTACTCAATGAACATGAATGTCTCAAATTCGAGAAATAAAACAAGTCTTTTAACCCAAACTTTCTTATGGCACCATATATATTCTATTGCTGTAATCGTGAGCACAAGAGTTTTCAAGTCTTTCCCCACCCCCAGAGAGTCATCATTCAAAACATCAGCATACAGTGCAACAAGGTTCTTTTCCAAAAGACTGTAACAGAAGAGCCCTTTTTTTTTAATAGTATGAACAGAACCCTACAAAAATTGACCCCAAATATTAGCCAGCTAGGACATCACAGCGCAAACTAGATGTTAAGTTTCAAGATTTGAATGAAAACCAAACAACCCACATCTGTTAAATAGTAAGTAGTAGCAGAGACATAAAAACGACAGCCCAATATACTACTTACACAAACATGTTCTAATACAAGCTAAGGTAGAGTACACAAGGCTTGTGGAAGTTTGACAATTACTGCTATTAAAGTCACAGCCAACAGGATCATAAACAACCTTTTGGCTTATCATTTGTGAGCAAAGCATTTCTAATGATTAGCTAACTCTAACTTCTTTGTAATGCAGAACTGCATCTATTTTCTTCTAGGTTTCCAGTAGTTGTCGTTTATGAGAGGTAGCTGAGCTACTGTATTCAGAGAACTCACTCTGTGCGGATGAGGAATTTTTCAGACATTAACCTTTAGCTACACAATGTCTAATAATGCACTAAAACATAAGAAAAAGAAAATAGATGCAAGTAACTTTTGCATTTGGCACCTTTTGTCTAGATTTTGATACTTCTCAAGTATTGTTTTTTTTTTTAATAAAGTTAATGCACACATCAGGACACACCACAGCAAAGGTTTGCTACATATTTACAAGGCACCAACCCTTTTCTCACCTTTTAACATGAAGAATCAATGAAAAGCATATCAAGATCCCCCCAGCTCCCCATCTTCTTGCTCAGGTCCCCTCCCCCCCCAAAAAAAACCTGTGCTATAAATATACTTCAGCTCAGTACAATTTGTGAAAGTTTGGCCTGGGATGATTAAAATAATCCAGATCCTTCTTACAATATAGAAACTGTAAACATTTTATAGCTGCCTTTAGGATTGGTGTATTGTGCAAAAGTTATCATTATTACTGTGTATAGGAATCAAAATGGTAAAAAAAAAACTATATAAAAACTCTGTAAGAAGGTGCTGTAATTTCTATAATACAAAACCAAAAAAAGGGCGATTTCCTTTTTGTGATAAAAATGTCATGCTACTGTAGAGAAGCCGGAAGCTCCTTTAACATAGTAAATATGTAGTGTGGGGGGGGAGCAGAATTTCTTTAATTTAAGGCCTAATGAGTAAGGCTTGCAGGGAAAATTGAAGTGTGGAGAGCTCGAGTCTCAAAACAAACATATACTGGCATAATGAAAAAGCACCACTGGAAGGAAGCAGAAAGTCCCCACACAATTTGCTCGGTAGATATGCCTGGTAAGTTCCCTGTAGTAGAAGGCCATTGGGATCTGATTTTTAAAAATTCTTCTAAAATGTTCATTTGTTAATAATTCCATCCCATGAGATGACTAACCCGGGCCTTCTCTGTCATTTTACGTACTCTGCCTGATCTGGATGTACCAAGATTCAACGGATCTTCAGTGGGAACAAAGCTGTCATTGTCAGAATCGTCGTTATACAAAACAGTTCTCCGACCTTGGTTTCTTGTTTTAATTCGGGGCAGTCTACTAAATCGACCTGAAAACACCTCAAATTCATCTTCTGCGATGTGTGCACGTTTGGCTCTAGAGCTTCCTCTGGCGGCTCCTCTTCCTCCTCTTCCTCTTCCTCTCCCCCTTGCTCCATTTCCTCTTCCTCTACTTCCACGACCTCTGCTTCCTCTTCCTCTTCCTCCTCGGCTCCATCGGCCCCATCGACCCCATCTACCCCTTCCTCCAGCTCCTCTAGTCTTCCAAGGTCTTTTTCCACTGGCGAGATCCTTTCTGATCTTTCTTTTAGGCCTAGTATGAATGACTTTGCTGTAGTCGTGGTCTCCTTCTACATAATCACGGTCTGTTCTAGAACTTGAATCAGAGTCTGTATCAGAGCAACATGAACTTTCAGAACTTGAACTAGACTCCCCACTCTCTGACGAAGATAAACATGTTTTCTCTTTTGTACCTTTTTTCTCTCCTTCTTCATCCAGGCTTTCATCATCTTCTGATGTAGTAAGTAATTTTCTCTTCACTCCTTTCTGGTGCTCTTTTCCATTACCATTTGTAAGAGGCTCATCCATGGACTGATCTAAAACAGGAGGGATCATTTTTAAAAGTTAAGATTGAGTTGGTTAAGATGGCTATTAAGGTTCAAATCTGAGCTAAACAGAGATGAAATATACAAAGGATCTTATATACCTTAAGGTAATTATGTGCATTTATTTGATTCGTATTTTTTTTTAACAACCAAGAGAAAATATATGGTCTTTAAAAAATTATTTTAAAAAAGTACTTCAGGGGCAACTAGGTGGTGCAGTGGATAGAGCACTGGCCCTGGAGTCAGGAGGGCCTGAGTTCAAATCTGGCCTCAGACATTTGATACTTACTAGCTGTGTGACCCTGGGCAAGTCACTTAACCCTAACTGCCTCACACACACACACAAAAGGGAGAGTTTTGTTGGGTTTTAGGTTGTGTGTGTGTGTGTGTGTATATGCATGTTTTAATAGATTTCCCACAACATGATCCTTTCTCAGGACTCATTGCCATTGGATTCCTGATCCCATCAGGAAATCTTTCCTTTTACCAATCCCATGCAGTACCCTAATACCATTCTTTTCTCTTACTCCTAATAAACTTATAACCTATACCAACCTAGGGATAATGTGCTAATTATCTCCCTACTGAACCTATCACGCTGCTTTGTAGTTAATAAAGGAGGCAAACTTTTTCAAAGAATGCATCATAAATCAGTCAGCTAATAAACATTTATTAGGTGGCAGGCACTGGGCTAAAACCTGGGGATACAAGTAAATGGGGGGGGAGAGTCCCCGCCCTCAAGGGACTCACATTTCAAACATGCAAATAACAGTACACAAAAGATCTCTACAGTGTAAATGGAAGAGTAATCACCGAGAGAATGAGGAAAGAGCTCCTGAAGACGAAGATAGGATTGGAGCAGAGTCTTAAAGGAAGCCAGTGAATCTTGGAAACAGAGGCAAGGAAGGAGAAGATTCCAAGACAGCCAGTGAAAAGGTACAGAATCAAGAGATGGAGTGTTGTGTGGGAAGAACAAAAAAGGCCAGTACTGCTGGATCATAGAGTGCATATATGAAAACTGGAGAGGTAGGAAGGAGCTATCTGATTCTACAGGTAATAGGGAGCCACTGGGGTTTGCTGAACAGGGGGCTGAGATGGTCAGGCTTGTCCTTCAGGAAGAATGTTTTGGCCGCTGAGCAGAGGATGGACTGGAGTGGGGAGAGCCTTGAGGGTGGCAGCCCCTCCAGCAGGCTACTGCAACAGTCTAGACATGAGGTGATAAAGCCTGCACCAGGGTGGAGGCAGCGTCAGAAGAGAAAAGGGGAGATGTCAGAAAGGTACAAATGATAGAACTGGGCAATAGAATGAATATGTGGAGTGAATGTAAGTGAGAATAACGGTGAGGTTGTGAGTCTGGGTGACCAGGAGGATAGTGGTACTCTTTGACAATGATGGTGAAATGTTGGAGGTACAGAAATGAGTTCAGTTTGGGACACATTGAGTTGAAGATGTCTACAGGATATTCAATCTGAGACATCCAAAAGACAGCTGGAGATGGGAGACTGGAGGTGAGGAGAGAGATTAGATCTGGATAGGCGGATCTGAGCATCACCAGCAAAGAGATTATAAAAGGATCCATAAGAACCGATGAGATCACCAAGTGAGAAAGAGGAAGAAGAGAAAAGAGTCCAGACGGAACATCTAGGATTAACAGACAAGACGTGGATGAAGAGGAAGCAATGGAGACTGAGAAGGAGCTGTCAGAGGGGTAGGAGGACCAGTAGAGAGTAACATCTTCAAACCATAAAGGAGAGACTATCTGGGAAAAGCAGATGACCACTACTTTCAAAGGCCACAGAGAAGTCAAGATATATGAGGACTGAGAAAAGACCATTCCATTTGGCATGTAAGAGATCCTCTTCCTAACTATGGAGAGCAGTGCCAGTTGAATGAGAAAGCTGGAAGTCAGACTGTGGGGGACTGAGAAGAGAGTGACAGGAGAGAAAGTGAAGCTATTAGTTTTAGATGGCTTTTTAATAAGTTTGGCCATGAATGGAAGGAGAACAATGGGATCAAGTGAGGATATTTTAAGGATGAGGGAGGGAAACAGCATGTTGATAGGCAGCACTGAAGCAGCCTACATACAGGGCAAGAAGAGTGGTGATGATAGGGCGGGCGACTTGGAGAAGAGTACATGGAATAGGATAAGGGTGCATATGGAGGAGTTCATCTTGGCAAAGGGAAAGGCCACCTCTTCATATGAGACAGGAGTAAATGAGCAAATAGTGGAGAAAGACATCTGAGTGATCTGAGATGAAGAGGCAGGGAAAACTGGCAAGAGGCCAGGTTCTCATGAGAGGCTGGGTAGAGGGGGTACATTGGATGAGTTCAGAAAGTGTGAACATTTTTGAAATAGTTGCTGTGGTGAGGGGACAGTGAGTCAGTTTTAGGGAGGTGTAAAAAAGATTGCCTTACTGCAGTGAGGACCCATCCAAGATTCATTGCGCAACCTAAATTTGCAGGTGGATCCATACAACACAGTTTCTTGATTTTCTCTATCTCCTATCAGCAGCATATCAACAGGAAAAGACTGCCTCAGCATTTCAATGAATACTCTTGGATGGGAGTACAAGACATTACATGACCCAAGATTAAAAAGCAAAGTAATAGTAAAGGTAGGTACTGACCTGAAAACCTATGATTCTCCCCCTTTAGATCTAGTCATTTAAACACTGCAATTTTTTTTCCATCCATTTTGTCTCTTAACATATTATTTCCCAAGAGTTCTAATCTCATTGGTCTCAGTGTCTCCTCATTTTGGATAACTTTTCTACTTATTCAGAGTAATTTTTAATTCCTGTTAAATTTTCTTTTCAAAATCACAATTTGTTTGGAAATAAGTACTGGCCATTTGCTCTCAGTCAAGTCATTCTTAAAATTTATTAAGCGCCTGCTATGAGCAGAACACCATGCAAGGTGCCGTGCAAGGTACAAAGTTCAGATGAAACATAGCTCTTGCCCTCATGGATCTTACAGTTAGTAGGGGGATACAATACAAATACTGACAATCACAATATATAAAACATAATGAATGCATTCAAGGCATATGAAACAAAATGGGATGAGCAGTCCAATGGGGATAGGCATTATTGAAAATCAATGAAAACTTCATGTGGAATATAGCATTTGAGCTGGCTTCTGAAGGATGGTTAAGAATTTTAAAAGGTGAAGAGTGGTAAGCTATGGGGAAGAAAGGATATTCTAGTCATGTGGAAGAACATAGCAAAGTATAGAAGAAGAAGACAGAATGTATGCTTACAGGGCAGAAAGAAGTCTAGTTTGGCTAGAGTACATAGTAGAGAAACATTTAAGCCTGGAAAATAAGAGTGACACTGTATTAAAGGGCCTTGAATGCTAAACAAAGGCATCTGATTTTTATATTCAGTAGGCAATGGGGAGCCACTTAAGATTTTTTTTTTTTAGCAGAGCAACATAATCAGAGCTTTATCCAAGTAAGATTATTGTGTTAGCCATGTGAAGGGAGAAAGAGAGTAGAAGTAAAGAATGTCTATTAGGAGGCTATAACAGTAGTACAGAGGGATATAATGAGTGCTTTCTGCTCCTTTTTCTTTGAAAAAATATTCTTTGTTCTATAGGATGGTTGTCTGGGTCAAGAGAAGAGAGACACTGGGCGAAATGTAGGCAATGGAAAAATAAATGTTATCAGTAAAAAATTTTTTTCTTTTTTTTTTTCAGTAGAAATTTATTGAAAAAAAAACCCCACAAAAAACCCCCCCTACAAACCAAGATGTAGATATGAATGGTGGAGGAATATTCGCCAAAGAAAAAAAACCCTGAGGCTGTAGATATGGAAGATCTGATGAAAGGTGGTGAAAGAGAAAGAAATAATGAAAGCAAGAGAAGGAGCAGATTTAGGGGTAAAGAAAAAAAGATTGGTTTCATTTTGGATATGTCAAATTTCAGGTGTTAGTGGAATTGAAACTATATACTTTATCCAAATTAGATATTATTAAATTATTCAGGCTAGCAATTATGGGGAAACACTAAATTTAGTGCCTTTATTTAAAAAAAAAAGGAAATCTAGCTTTTATACTTTAAATACATTAGCTTTTGCATAAGTCAATCAAATTAAACAATCAACAAGCATTTATTAAGCAACTACTACCATGTGCCAGGAACTGGCAAAAAAAAAAAAAAACCCAAAAATCCCTGTCCTTAAAGGCACCAATTTAAAGAAGAAATTTTAAAATTATTTATATCCTACCTCTTTCAACTGGTGTAACTTTACCCTGGGACGATGTACTTTTCCTTGGATTGGTACTACTTCCATTTTGGCTTTGTACATTTGAATCTGATGACGAACTCTGTTCCTCAATGGCTTCATCAACTACATATCCAACAGGATCGTCAGCAAGGTCTGAAACTTCAATTTCAGGAGAGTGCGCTGTTAAGGAGGCAGCATTGAACAATCAGACCCAGAGAGTTATTGAGGACCTGAAAAGATGACTCATTCAGCTGTACTATTTTAGAACTAAAAAATGGTGTAGAGTTCCAAGCTTGATTATTATTATACTGAACATCAACATACTCTCAGAGTTCAGTCAATGGCATCTATGAGAGAAGAGTGTGCTGAATGACCCTTACCCACCATGCCACAATAAATCCCCATTTCTCATGTTTCAAAATAAGTTCAAACTATATATGACAATGCTAACAACAAATACATGATGAGAGAGTTTAAATAACGTAGTCTGTATAGAGTCTCAGATTTGGGGGAGATGAAAAACGATTAGAGCTTTGATCTAGTTAGAAATCTTCATTTCTAGGGGTAACAAGCTCAGCAGTTAAATAACTTGCTGAACTCGCATTTGTTAACACAAACACAGGATTTCAAGCTGCCAAGGACACTAATTCAGAGCTCATACAGGTGGGAAGCAAAGACAGACCTACTAAGGACATGCGTTCAGTGCTGGAATCTCCTCAGTCTCACCTGAGGTGGGGGCAGAAAACAAATGAGCATTTTTACCATGAGATGAGACAGAAGAGCTCGTCCGGGTCAAAGGCAGTGAGGTATTTGGGTCACTTTGAGACTCTGTCTTGGCTTGTTTCTGTTTTCCTTTTGGACTAAAGGCAAGAATATTCAATCATAAGTAGATGGTCTATGTTAGAAACCAATTTGCAATGTGAAACAAAATATTTTTACCATGAGATCATTTGGAAGACACCCCCATACAACTACATTTTGGCAAAGGAAAATTATACACCTCCAAATTTTATTGAATTTCTGACAGATCCCGGTAATAAATGAAGTAATAATAATAGCTAGCATTTACATGGCACTTTAAGATTTACAAAGCACTTTACATTCATCAACCATTTGATTCTCCCAACAACCCTGTGCCGTGGGGTTCATTTTTTTAAGCCCATTTTTACAGATGAGTAGACCAAGGCTGAGAAAAGCTTAGTAAGTGACTTGTCTAGAGGCATACATTAAGTGCCTAAGAAAGGATCCGAACTTTGATCATCCTGACTCTAAGTCCAACACTCCTGAAAGACATGAAGCAAGAGTTCTTAAATGATTTTATAAATGAAGTAAAAGGTGCTAGAGGAAAACAACTGGATAAGAAATGAGAGCTATGAAGAAAGAATTGAAAAGAGAATTAACAGCTTGGCACAAGAAGTAAAAAACTTAATCCAAGCAACAGACTTCCTGAAAATTAGAATGGACTAAATAGAAGCCAATGAAAGTTAAAAGACTGAAAAAATAAAAGGTATTTCATATAACAATTGACCTAGAAAACAGATCAAAGAGAGATCATCTATCATTCATTGGACTAGGAAGCTGAGCCAAGATGGTGGGTAGCAGAAACCTGTATAGTGAGCTCCTCCTGCTCCAAATAGATCTAGAAAAAAACACCAGACTGAATCCCTATGGGGAAATCCAAGAAAAAGTAGTTTTTCCTGCCCAGGTAGGCATAGGGAGAAAGATGGGGCGGACAACTCTGAAGACAGAGAACGCCGAGTAGGGATACTCCACCACTCAAGGAAAGGCTATGTACTAAGCCAAACCCATACCAGTGGACTTTGATTGAAACAGGTAATATTATTGCCCATTACTCATTCCAGAATGAGGAGGGGATGTGTACCCAGGAGTGGCCTTCCAGGATAAGGTCCTAGACTGTGTATCAAGGGAAGTTAGGTGGCTCAGTAGATAAAGAGCTGGACCCAGAGCCAGGAAGATCTGAGTTCAAATTCAACCTCAGACACCTACTAGCTGCATGACCCTGGGAAAGTCATTTAACCTGTCTCAGTTCCCTTACCTGTAGAAGGGGAATAATAACAGCAGCTACCTCTCAGGGCGGTTGTAACATTGAATGATGTAATATCTGTAAAGTGCTTAGCACAGGAGTGGGGAGCCCGCAGTTAGGTCCCCAGGTGCGGCCTTCTGACCGAGTCCAAGTTTTACAGAACAGATCCTTTTATTAAGGGGATTTGTTCTGGGAAGTTTGGACTTAGTCAAAGGGCTGAGTTTGAGGACCTAGAGGGCCACATGTGACTTCAAGGCCACAGGTTCTCTACCCCTGGCTTAGCACAATACCTGGCACATATGAGGTGCTATAAAAATGTTAGCTATTTATTTTTATTACTATTATTACCAAGAGGGGAAAATTTCAGAAACAAGCTCAAGTCTTCATTACTCCAGGCCCAGTGCTCCATCCACTGCAACTTCAACCAGCCAAAGAATTTGTTTAAAAAGAGCTTTCACTTCATTACTTGTTTAAAAACAGTTAGGTAGCTTTTTTTTAAAAAAATAAATGAAAAGAGACTGTTAGAGGAAAAAGGAAAAAATGAGCACTGTGGAAGAAAGAATTGAAAAGGGAACTAATATTTTGGCAAAAGAGGTATAAATCCTGCAGGGAACAAACTCCTTAAAAAGTAGAAGAGACCAAATAGAAGCCAATGGTTGCATGAGATAAGAAATATCAAAACAAAATCAAAGGACTGAAAAAAAAAAAAAGGAAGAAAATGTGACTGGGTGAAGACAACTGAGCCAAAAAACATCAAGAAGAAAATAATTTCAGAATCATAGGACTACCTGAAAGCCATGACCAAAAAAACCCCTAGATGTCATATTGTAAAGAAATCATAAAACTGTCCATACCTCTTAGAACTAGAAGGCAAATGGACATAGAAAGAATCCACTAGTCACCTACCGCAAGAAACCCCAAAATGAAAACTCTCAAGAACATCTCCAGGAACGTTACAGCCCAAATCTAGAGCTTCTAGGTCAAAGAAACAACACGACAAGCAGACAGAAAGATAAGTCAAGTACTGAGGAGTCACAGTGAGGACCACACACAATTTAGCAGCCACCACTATGAACCAGTGGAGAGCTTGGAATATGATGTCCCAGAGGTCTGTAAAAGATAAGAGGGTTACAGTTAAGAATAATTTACCCAGCTAAAATAGTATAATCTTATGGAGGGGGGTGGGGAAAATAGTATAATCTTATGGAGGGGGGTGGGGAATGGACCTTTAATGAAACCAAGAACTTCCAAGTATTCCTGATGAAAACACCATAGTTATGTAGAAATTACTAAGTTCAAACAAAGGAGTGGAGAGAAAACATAAAAAGACAAACACGAATAAACAATCATAAGGGAATAAACATGGATAAACTGCTTATATTCAAATATAGGGGAGATGATATATGTTTCTCCTCTAAACCCTATCCTTATCAGGGGTCATAGAGTCTAATTAGACAAGGCCTATAAGTGGTTCTGTTATGTCTTAATGACCTTAAGAGAAGACTAGAGAGGGGAAGAGGACTACAGTTGGAAGGCTGGGGTGAAGGAAAGTTAAGGAAAATTATCTCTCATAAGCAAGATGTAGACGTATCCAGAAAAACAAGGAGAAGGAAGTGGGTGGGGGTGGTGGGGGGAGAGCTGATAATTTCAACATCACTTTCATGTAAACTGGTCAAAGGAAAGAAGAATATACACACAGATACAGGAAGGGAGACAGACAGAAAGAGTTACTAAGGGAAAGGGAGAGGGGGAAGGGAAGTTTTGGGGGGATAATACAAAAATATTTATAGCTCTTCTTGAAATGGCAAAGAAGGAAGAATCTGAGGTGGTGTGCATAAACTGGGGAACAGCTGAGCAGGCTGTGGTACATAAATGTGATAGAGTATTATTCTTCTATAAGAAATAAGAAGGAGGGACAGCTAGATGGCACAGTGGATAGAGCACCAGCCCTGAAGTCAGGAAGACCCGAGTTCAAATCCGGTCTCAGAGCAAACACTTTCCACTTACTAGCTGTGTAACCCTGGAAGGGAGAGGGAGAGGGATACAGGAAGAGGGAGACAGAGAGAGAAGGAGACAGAAAGAGAGAGAGAGAGAGGGAGATGATTTCAGACTGACCCAGGAAGACTTGTATGAACTGATGCAGAGTAAAGTAAACAGCAGATACAACAATACTGTAAAGATGAAAAACTTTGAAAGACTAAGGAACTCTGAACAGCACAGTGCCCAATCACGATTCAAGGGGACTAATGATGAAACACGCTTCCCACCCTCCTGACAGAAAAACGAAGGACTCGGAATGCAGAATGAAACATAAATATTTTTTGGACATGGCCAATGCTGAATTTTTCTTTTTGCTTTACTACACATGTTTTAATACGGATTTTGTTTTTGTTTTCATTTTGTTCTCAACTAGAGAGTTGGGAAGGGAGAGAAGGTGGCTATTTGCTCCTTGAAAAAAAATAAAATATAATAAAAAAACCAAAAAGAAATCTTAAAAGGAAATTGTCCAGATCTCTTTGAACCACAGGGCAAAGTGGAAACATAAAGAATCCACCAGTCAGTCACTTCCTGAAATAAGCCTCAAAATGAAAATTTCTAGGAACATCACAGTCAAAAATCCAGAGATTCCAGGTCAAAGAAAAATTATTGCAAGCATCCAGAAAGAAAGAACTCAAGTAGCAAGAAGCCAGAGTCAGGATCACATGTGATTTAGCAGCAACCATTATAAGGGAGAAGAAAGCTTAGAGTACATTATTCTAGAAGGCAAAGGATAGAGGCTTTATGACCAAAAATTCCTTACCTGGAAGGCCCAAATATAATCCTACAGGGGGGAAAAATGGATCTTTGATAAAATAGAGGGTGTCTAGCCATGGCTGATAAAAACAAAACTTGAGCTGAGTAGAAGTTTTGAAAGATGAACTATCAATCATAAGAGACTAAACAGTGATTAATGGTTAACATATGAATATGGGAAGATAATACATTTGTCCCCTCAGAGCCCCGACTTCATCAAGGGTTGTAGAGGGAGTCTATTAAGACATAGGGACCATTTTTCTATGTTTTGATGATCTTAAAGGGAGGGGGAAAGGAATACATGGGAGAAGAAAAAAGAAGAATTGGGAAATTATCTCAAATAATTGGGGTATGCAAATGGAAGAGTATACAGAAGGAAGGGGTAAGGGAAGAGGTGACACTTGAGATGATAAGAGGAGGGATGAACACACGTAGATCCACAGCTGGATGCAGAAATACATTTCAGTCAACAGGGAGAAATAAGAAAATTAAGGGAGGTATTAGTTCCAAGCAAAAACTATCTATGGAGAATGGATCGTGTGTGTGTGTGTGTGTGTGTGTGTGTGTGTGTGTGTGTGTGTGTGTGTGTGTTAAGGGGGGGGAGTGTTAAAAGGAAATAAAGAATAAAAACATGTGAGTAGCCTCTGGATGAAGGAAAGTGAAGAGGGTAGAAGCAGGCTGAAGGAAAAGCTCTGGCATTGCATACACATTGCAATCACTACCTTCTTTATAAAGAGGTGACACAAAACAAAAAAAAGGAAATAAAAGAAGAGAATGAAGGGAAATATGTATTTCATAATCTTAACTATGAATGAGATGACCTCACCCATAAAAAGGAAAACAAGAACAGAAAAGATCAGAAAGCAGAATCCAACAGTATGTTGTTTACTTGAAACAAAGACACACAAAGAGTTAAAGTAAGAGACTGGAAGAAAATCTCCTATTTCAGCTAAAATTTTTAAAAAGGCAAAGATACAATCATGATCTCAAGACAAGGCAATAGAGAAAACAGACTTTTAACTTATGCTTTTTAGACTTAGATTAATTCCCCCATCGCCCCCCAAAAAGTTAAGGACCTGAACAGAATTTTATAAAAGGTAGATGTGATAGTACTCTGGTCATTAATGACTGCACTGGAATAAAAAGGAGTATACATGGCTTAGCTGATTGCATGCAACCTTTATAAAAAGTGACTGTGTTAGGGCATAAAAACCTCACAAACAACTGGAGAAAAGCAGAAATGTTAGATAATGACAATGTAACAAAATTGTTGGGATGTGGTCAAAGCAGTCCTTAGAGGAAAATTTCTCTCTCTTAATGCTTTCATCAACACAAAAGAGAAAGAACAGATCAACAAAATGGTCAAGCAACTACAAAAAACCCCCCTAGAAAAACCAACAAATTAAAAAACTCCAATTAAATATCAAAATAGCAATCCTGAAGATCAAAGAGCTTAACAAAACTGAAAGCAAAAACACTACTGATTAATAAATGAAATTAGGAGTCGTTTTTTTTTTGGGGGGGGACAGCTAAAACATTATCCAGTTTTTAAAAAAGATTTTTTAAAAATTATTTTAGGAAGAAATACAAAAACAAACAAAAGAAAAAAGGTTTGGTACCTAAATCAAGGATAAATCAAAACAGAGAAAGAAAACTAGACAAATATCCATAATGAATACTGATGCAAAAATTTTAAATAAAATACTAAGAAGGTTGCTATAGCAACATATCACAAAGATTATACATAATGACCAGATTGGATTTATACCAGGAATTCAGGGTTGGTTTAATATTGAGAAGAGGAAAGAAGGAAGAAAAGGAAACAAGCATTTACTAAATGTTTACTATGTGCCAGGCACTGTGTAAAGCTATGAACACAATAGATCACATTGATAACAAGAACAAAAATTCTATTATATTAATATATGGGGGGGGAAGCTTTTGACAAGATACAACACCCATTCCTGTGAAAAATAATAGATAGTATGGCAAGAAATGTATCTTTCCTTAATATAAGTAGTATCCATTTTAAAACTAAAAGCCAGAATTATATGCAATGGGAATAAAAGTAGAGGCTTTCCCAACAAGATGAGGATGCCCATTAATACCATCGCTATTTGATGTAGTGCTTGAAATGCTATCGTTGTCAGAAAAAGAAAGTGAGGGAAGAAACACAGGCAAACAGGAAATAAAATGATATTGCTTTCTGCAGAGGATAAGATGTTTTACTAGAATCTGAGATTCTCAACTAACTAAAAATTAACTGCATCAATAACTTTAGCTAATTTGCAGGACGGAAAATTCTATATATTACCAAGAAAATGCAGCAGGAAGAGAAACAGAAAAATTCCATTAAAAATAACTACAGAATATATAAAACACTTGTGACTCTACATGCAAAGACATACACAAAAACTACATGAGTATAACAGAGGCAGCAAGATGGCATGGTGGACAGAGCACTTCACTGGAGTGAGGAATATCTGAATTAAAATTTGACTTCAGAGACATATTTCCTAGTTGTATGGCCCTGGACAAGTCACTTAACCTGTCTACTTCCATTTCTTCATAGGTAAGATGAGGATAATAATTATACCTACCTCCCAAGGTTGTTTCAAGGATAAAATGAAATGAAATTTTTAAAATAAAGAGCTTTGCAAATCTTGATGTGTTATACTGTAAATGTTAGCTATTTATGACAAAACAAATAAAGACAGACCTAAATAACTGGAGACATTAATTGCTTCAGGGGGATACCAAGTCAATATAATAAATAATAACCATCTGGCCTAAATTAATCTACTTATTCAGCCCTATACCAATCACACAACCAAAGGGTTAACTAAGAGCTATAAAAAAATAATGAAACAGACCTGGAAGAATAAAAAGTACAGAATCTCAAGGAAAATAATGGGGAAAAAAGTACAAAGGGGGCCTACTACCAGTACCAGATCTTAAATCACACTACAAAGTAGTAAATGAGTAAGAAAGATATAGAGAAGCAAACGAACCTGGTAGCCTAGTGGTTAATAAATCTATAAATCCCATATATTGGGGTACAAACTCCCTATTTGAAAAAAATTGCTGAGAAAACTGGAAAGCAGTCTGGCAGAAGCTAAGAGTACACCAACCATCTACATGATTTAGACATAAATAGGGTGACATCATAAAAAAAAAACAGGGGCAGCTAGGTGGTGCAGTGGATCTAGAGCACTGACCCTGGGGCCAGGAGGACCTGAGTTCAAATGTGCCCTTAGACACTTGACACTTACTATAGCTGTGTTTAAGCCTGGCCAAGTCACTTAACCCCAATTGCCTCACCGAAAAATAAGAGGAGCAAGGAAGAAATGACCTGACAGGGGAAAGAGTTCCTGACCAAACAAAGGCCAGAAAGGACCACAGATGAGAAATGGTCAGGTTGAAGGGCGAGGTGGATTTTTGTTAATTGAAAATAATCAGTTACAAAGGATGTCATTTTCACCCCCAACAAATGTACAATGTATATTTTGGCGGGAAAAATGGCCTAAACCTTCCCAGGGTAAAATGCAATAATAGCCCTACCTACTTAAGAGGCAGTCACCATGATTATACCACAAATGCAAACCTATTAAACTACTGACTAAAGATTCTTAAATAATTGCTTGTTCATTTTCAGATGACTAACTCTTTGTACTTGGTATGAAAGTAGGGGCTAGGGAAAGGAACTGGACTTGTGATTTCATCAATATAAAGAACTCTCAGGTGAGGGAACTCCCCCCCCCATAAATTCAAGAAGGCACCTTCTCTGCAACTTAGTCTTAGAAAGTCATCGGGAGCACTGGTGTCAAACTCACATGAAAAACTGAGTTCTGCAGCTGCATGTTGACTTCAAAAATTACAAATAAGTATTATTTATGCAATATTGTATTTTTCTAATTTTGTTCAACATTTCTCAAACTACAGTTTGACACCTCTGGTTTGGAATGCTGAGTGGGCAGTCACACTGGCAGAATGGGGCAGAGAGAGGAACTCTTGGCTTCAAAGCCAGCTACCTGTGCCACCACAATCTCCCTCTTAACGTTGGACTTTTTCATGCTCAAATTCTCCTTGCACGTTAAGGATGAGCAAAGAAGTAATTATAATTGCAGGTGAAATTGGTACTGAATGTTATAGGCCTATGGTCCACCCAGGCCTCTTCTGCACTGCCCTCTAAGCATTCCTAATGTATTATTCCCTCACTTTCGGCTAGTCACCTTTAAAAACTCAGTCTTTTCCTAGTTTATCTATTTCATTATCACAATAAATATGTGAGATAGAATGGGAAAGGCATGGCCATTGATTTGCTCATGGTCACACACTGATAAAAGTTCAACTGAGACTCCAGGTCTCCTAACTCCCTGGTCAGTAGTCTACCAAAGACACTGAACACCAAAGGAACCACTAGGGAAGTCAGAATCCCAGAATCATTTACAAAGCTACTTTTATCCCTCAAACAAACTATTTTCACATTAAACTTCCAAAACGATGATGATGACAACAACAATAATAATGTAACATCATGATGATGATAATGCTTATAAGAGAACTTACAGTGAACACATGGGGGAAGAGACAATGAAAAAACCAGCAAAGAAGGGGCAAAGGATAGCAAAATTGTTGGAGAGGTTGGTCAAATTACAAAAGAGTTTATTTCATTTATAATAGGGAAAAAACAATTGAGCACAATTACCTTGATGCTCTGCTACTATTTGGTGAACTACTGCTGCTCCGGAGACGTTTTCTGTACGGGGGCCGTTTCCTCTTCTGACACTGGATGGTAGATTTATAATCAGAGATTATATTTTTAATATGATTTTCAAATAAGGCAGATAAGCGAAGAGTCATGCTGTAGATCTGAAACCAGGAAACATAACTTAGTTCTATTAAAAAATAGACTATGAAAATGCACAGAAACACCTACATCATCATTCCAAACAAAGTTTATGTGTGTGTGTGTGTGTGTGTGTGTGTGTGTGTGTGTGTGTGTTGTGTATATATATATGTATATATTTGACAGTCATGAAATTTCACTCACCAAAATGATGAATTAACTACAGTAGAATACATTTATATATGACCATTTGGTGAGAAAAAGCATTGTTGAAAATTGACTCAACGTAAATGTGGTACCAGTGGAGAGTATATATAAACTGCCTATTTTGCCCCCACTAAGTTTCATTTTGGAAAGAGTATTGGGGAAATGTTCAATGCACTTAAAATGTTAAAAGTTCCAAAGAGTGATCATACCCAACTATGGAAATGAGGATAACAAAAAGAAGTCTACAATTCATTCCAGTATTTCATTCATGCCGTCTCCACAATACCAACCACTTTTCTCTCAATTTTGTTACCAAAAAAATTAGCACTTGCCTAATTTTCCTCCTACTACTTACTATCGCCTTGACTTTTCTCTGATAAACTGAGGTAAAATGTACAACATGAATAGGAGGCAAGTGAAAGGAAGACAAGTTAATTCAGTATTGTTGATATGTGAAAATACCTTGGTATGTAACATGCATGCTTATTAACCCAGGTTTTAGTAAAGATATTTCAAGTGACTAAACTATTATATTCATAGCAGCACCTTGTTTAACTGTTCAAAAAGTGATCAAAGACAACTGTTTAATACAAATGACTGGTCTGCCTAGATGAGGTTCAAGGAATTTCTTTTTTAACAAAATGGTTAAAATAATTATTCCATGAAGAATACTCATACCCTTGACTTTTTATTAGGAGTATAAGCTTTTGAGTTGGTGAATATTAGGCGAACATCCTTATAAAATTCCAAAGGACTGGCATAGTTTCCTGCTTCCAAAGTTTCTTTCACAGTGCTGAAGTCCATAGGAGAGTCTATAATATCTTGATAATCCTAAAAGTATTAACGTATGTTATCATATCTAAATCTTGGCAACAGTGTTCAACAATACACATGAAGAGAGAGGTTTGTTTAGCATAACTAGATACTATATAACCTCCATTATGCTTTAGAAAGTACCACCCAAACCACCCCAAACCAAAATGAGTATATCACAAAGGAGAGATCTTTGATGCCTCTAAAGCTCCTAGAAGTAGAAATAAGATAAAGAGGAACCTTAGCTCCTATTCCCCTTTTTCAGATGCAAATGGCTGTGCAAGGATACAACAGAGAACACAGATCATTAAAGAAGCTTAACTCCTGTCTCTAGCCCTTGAAGAGTCTCCAATGCAAAGAAAGGTATGAAAGTTCTCTAACAACTAACCCACTCCCCTCCCCACCCTGAAAAGCTTCTCTCCTATGGCATGGAATAATATAACTAAACATTTTCAGGATTCTACCCTCTATCAAAGTCCTACTGTCTATAAGGGTCATCACAATGATTCCGAATTCAATTTGAATGTTTTTAAGGAACACATTCTCTTATTGTTTCATCCTGACCTCTAATCCTAGCAAAAATTAGACCTATGTACTTACAAAGGCCAAGGTAAAAAAACCTTTAGTGAAAAAGTCTCAAAATTAAATTTCTCCCAATTCATGCAGAATTATGAAACAATAAATCATCATATTCTCTGCAAAGAAGACATCAAAGAACAGGAAGAAAAAAATCCTCTTAAAAAAAAAAAGCTCCTCGACTTGGTCCCTCTCTTACCTTCAAATGAGGGACTAAAAGGGCTCCAAATGCATCTTTTGTTTAAGTCATTTTAAAAAAAAGTAAACTTCTATTCAGAATGGCTTTTAAGGCCATCAATTCAGAGCCCAAAAACCACAGGGAAAAAAAGCCGTCAAAACTTGATGACTGAAAACCATAATCCAGAGCTTATTTAGGAAGGTCTTGGGTAGATAAATGCTGTACCAGTCCGACCTTAGCTCTTCTAAACAAACATATGCCTTTGTGGAAATGGAAAAGAGAAACTTTAAAGTAGAAATCCATTAGAAAAAATGGCTTGCAACTTTTTCTGTGTAATTTTTTTTTAAAGGCAAAGAAAGGAAAGGACAGAAAAGCTACCGGATAGTTTGTCAAATTATAAGAAGGTTCATTGTAATATGGAAAAAAATCCGTTTTTTAAAAGCTTGTTTTTGAAGTGGCTACTGAGCCCGTGCCATAAGAAGAAGAAATTCCTCTGATGGATTTCAGCAACCCTCCTCCTCGCTGCTGTGCAGCCAGAGTGCTACTGCGAAAATATGAAATGCCAATAATGCAAGAGTTTCCAATGAAGATTGTTATTTTAGTATTTACAAACAATCCTGAACTTTCCTTTCTTAATATTCTTTGATATTATCCCAGATAGATAAAATGTTATCTATCCTTAAAAAGAAAAAAAGCCAAAGATTTGGAAGATTTATCGATTTCTGTTTGAAAATGCCTTTCCTGAGCTAAAATGTTTTGTTTTTTTCCAAGAAAGAATTCATGGATAGAGGAAGACATCTTGGGAGTGACAAGTTCAAGGGTGGTTCTGATGGAGAGGTTCTCAACCAGGGGAGGTCCACGAATTTGCTCTTTAAAATATTTTACTATTTCAAAATAACTAGTTACCTTTGTGAACTTACATATTGTTTTATGCATTTAGAAACATTATTCTGAGAAGGGGTCCATGGACTTCACCAGACTGCTTTTTTAAAAAATCCAATACAAATAATATTAGAAATAGCTTCTAATGATCTTTTCCTCATTCTCTCTCTCTGCTTAAAATGAAAAGTGGTACTGTCACATTGACTATGTGGTTAGGGATTACACTAAGTAAAAAGATGCAGTGAAGAGTTAAGTGGAAATGGAACAGTCTGTGCTCTTATTCACTGAACGTACACATGCTGAACTCTACTGCAATTGAAAAAAAATATTAAGAAAAAACCTATAAAAGAAAAACAGATGATCAAGGTAGAAAACAGAAAAGAAGCACAGAAAGATTTGAGTCTCAAGGTACAGAATGTAATTTTCAGACGTGGCATGCACAGGCATTCCACGAGTCAGTGACATTATCAAGGTTTGAACTGAAACTTCCTGTACATAGAGTGAGACAACGCTGGTTCTCACCGAAGGAAGCACACTCTTACCGGGTAAGACAACTGATCCACAGGTTGTTGAAAGGGCTCGGAGTCTTCACGTTCATAAATGAGGCTCAAAAGTTCTTTACACTGTTTAACCCATTCAACAGGAGTTGCTTGGATGGAAGTTTTGGGTGGGCATCTTACCTAGAAGTTTCATGGGAAACTGCATTTAAAAGCTAAGATTATAGTCAATAACAGGGATCTCTTCATTCTAGGTACTCAAAAACTTTCTGTAAATGATCTTCATTTAAAAAGAAATTATTTTCCTTGTTTTTTTTTTAATAATATCCAAACAGTTAGTAAGCCTAATATATATTACCATGTTCTCCTCTGAAAATGGAGTTTAAATAGGTTTACTGCTTTAAGAATATACTTCATGGAAATTCTAAGCTTAGAAACATTCTGACCTTTGGAAACTGCAAAAGGTAAAGAAGCACACTTGCAAGGCCCCCATACATCCAGGCAACTCAAGTTTTCCATTCTAACCCTTAGAACAACATTTACTTTTTACTGAATCAATCCATTGTACAGACATACAAATTTCACTTTACAGTACCTTTTCATGAATTCCCTCAGCTTTCCAAGGGAAAAAGCAACTTAAAGAAAATTATGCATTTACTAGTGTGGAAAATCTGGGAAAAAGCATTTCCTTCTCCACAGTTAGTTCCTTTACTTACTGTTATTCCAGAGGATGTTCCAGGACCATCGGAATCTAAATCTGGCACTTCCACCACCTAGAATTTAAGAAAATAAAAACATGATACCGAAAATTTTAAAACTACTTCAATAATTATAAATCTACAACAGCCAAAACAGTCCTCAAAGGTTCCTTCCTTGGTGACAAGCAACAAAAGAAAAGCTTCAGGGGGTGCTGAGAAAAAAGACTTTCTTCCCCTCCCCTCCCCCCCCTCCTTCCTTCTCCTCCTCTTCCTCCTCCAATCTGAGAGGCAACAACAGAGAGAATCATTAGCAATGATTGTTTGCTAGCTGGTGAAAAAGAGCAAATAAGCGAAATGTCTGCATTATTACATGTACGTACATGTGGACATACATACATATAATTACTGACTGGCTGATCTCAATGCTTTACAAAGTCAATTTTCATTAAAAAAGAAAAAAACAAACACAAAAAAATCCCACCCCAAAACATGAATGTGCAGAAGTATGTGCTACAATTTGAGGATGTACTATAGGAAACAAAGCTATTTCTACAACAAAAAAGCTTAACTTAGGGTAGTACATGCCCATGGAGACAGCTCCTCAAAATGCAGGCCACATGCCCCAGGAGGATGGAAATAAATAACCTCCCTAAGTGCTAGTACTGCAAAACCAAGCCATAAATCAACTGAAACTGGCACAAATCCCTTCTCATAAAGATGGGCTGTTGAATCGGATTTATCCTAATTAATTTGGGAGTTAAATTCTGTGCCACATTAGCTGCAAGAGAACTGCTGCTATATCCCAATAGTGAGCCAAGTGCTAGGTGAAAAACAAAACACAAGATTATGAATAGGATAATTATTTGTGTTTCAAGGTAATAAAAAAACCAAATGGAATTTTCTCTGTTTTCCTAATTTTAAGAGCAATAATATCTAACTCACTCCACTAATACATAATTACATTTTTCAGTCTCCTATATTTTCTAAGAATAGTGTAAGCTATATACACTGGGGCAAATGAAGACACCTCATGAAACAAGTCAAATCTCTCAAAACTGAGGTCAAAATACTCCAAGCTTATACCTATTATCAATAAGTAAGAAAATTCATACAAATTTCAATTATCTTAGTCAACGTTCTATCAAATAAACGTTAAGAAGTGTTAAATGCATTCTTTTCAAAAGGCTAAAAGCTGAAATGCTGATTGTTCGTTACTGAAACCTCTTAAGTGATAATAGGTTAACAGCTGACCTGTCTTTGAACCCTAGTAACTTTGGAATGTCCTGCCAAAATAGAGGTGAGAGTTTTAATTTTAAAAGGATGCAGGTGTTAATCAAACAAACTGCTCACAGCCAACTAAAACACATCCATTTTAAGCAACGTTAAGAATCATTCACTTTTTTTTTTTGACATTCTTACCTCATTGCTAACATCCTGGTCCCCATCTTCCTCGGTACTTATTAAATCTTCTGCCTTAACTTTATTATATGTAGACAGAATATCAGTACAGCTCTGATCCCTGCAAAACAGGAGAGCAAACCAAAATTTGGTTCATATGACAACTTTTAAAATTAAAAAAGTTTGTCCCCATGAAAAACCAAATTATTCTCTTACCCAATAAAGCGAAGTAAAACATCAGTTACAACTTTGGCTGCTTTAACTATAGGACTGTCGGGCTCATTGAAAGTCCTGGCATTATGTTCAATGTATCGTACCTCCCACATCAATGCTGATATTCTCCTGAATAAAGGAAAACTTATCTGTCAGTTGCCAAGAACAAGTACATTTATGCTGATATTCTAGAGATAAAAAAAACATCCGAAATAACACTTTGCATAACATATGAAAGGTGATCAAATCAATGTGCACGATTGACATGCAAACAGAAAAACAGTGAAGAAGAGATTGTATAGGCATAGAACCCCAGACGCATGACTAGGGTACAAGAATCCTAGCCTGCTGCCAAAATTTGGGATAAAAATGAAATTAGTGTGTCCTGGGTAAGAAGTGATTTAGAGGGGTATGGAGGAGATAGAGAAGATGCGGAAGGGGAAGACAAATTTCTCAAGTAGTAGGAAAAGAAAGAGAAAAGAATGCCAAGGAACATGGTTTTAGAAGCAACAGTTCTTCTAACAGTTACTTTTAAAACACATAATAATACATCATGGGTTTTTTTTTATGGGAATCAGGGGTCTATGTTAACTGGATGAAACTGTGATGAGTCATTTTGCACAATTCCTTATTTGGTACCATAACAATGCAGACATTATTGTATCAAACTAGCTCAAAAGAAACACATGACCAATGTTTTGTATTTTCTACAAAAATTATAAGGACTCAACTAACCTATAAAATCGGTTTTCAAGTCTCCGCCTAATTGTGTTGAGGTCGGTCGGATAAGCAACTACAGTGCAATACAAGGGGTAGGCACTAAGGTCCACGGGAACAGCAAAAGGGCTAGCAAAATCTACAAAGAACCAAGGTTAAAGAAGGAAATGTTAAAAACCAAATGACATTTCTTTTAAACAAATGAGATCCATCTCTCATGAATGCTTACAAGAAGAGGGGATGATACAGCTACGCCCTGAAAAATGACGATGTGACTACATCATAGGTCAATTAGTTGATATTGCTTTCAATGTGTAGAAGTATAAGCTTAGAAGAAATAAAATCTACCTATCCTGATGTAAACTTCAATATGATAATTTGGTGAAGAACACCAAAAAAAAAGATCAAAAGGGAAACTATGAAATTTGGCTTCAATGTCATATTTAAAAGAACTCAGTAGCTGTTTTGTGGGCAAATTCCATATTTCATTAGTCATATGCTTTATGACATTGAGCAAAGCATGCAAATAAAAGAAATGACTTATCCAATCTCTCTCCCAACGAACCCGCCTGAACCAGAAGTAACAGTCAGGGGGCAAAAATCTAGGGAGACCTATCTCCTTATTGCCAGCCACACTGACATGGGGAAGACAAAGGGACCATTACTATTGGGCCCCAGAGAATATCAGAAAAAAGCACAGCAGTCATTACTTTAGCCAGGCACTTAAAAGCACTAATGTTAAAACAAAAATCAGCTTCTTCCCTAGAAAAAGCAATGTGTAATTGAATACAGCAAACTGCGACATTAGATTCCATTCTACAGAGCAGAAACGAGTTCCCTTGGTCTCATACGTCCATCATACCCAGGGTAAGAAGATGGTCGATGCCCTGAATAATCCGTTCACATTCCTCATCTCTAGAATGAGCCCCCCATTCTCCTTCTTGAGGCCTGTAGAGCAGAGCAGTCAGTTCTTCCTGAGATACAGGGACACCAGCACCAACTTCATCTGGCAAGGCAGCTTGTGGAAAGAATAAATCAGAAACAATTAACTTGTAATCTCTGGGGAGTGCCATGTTACTTTCAGAAGGAGAATGAATTTTCAAAAGGATATTTACTTCCTTCTGGAATTGGTTCCATGTCCCAGGGGCTCATCTTTTCTCTCTCGTTATTGTCCCAACTATTAAAAAGCAATAAGACAGAAATCAAATTTACATGCACATGTTTTCATAGACGTAAGATAGAACCTTCTGTGTGTTATTTGAAAAAGTACAATGCAATATTCTGTGCGAGATCATTTTGCCTACACAAAAGTAAGCCCCTTAAGAAAGAAACATAGGCTACTGACAGTGACCTTCAACCATGAAGTTCAGTCTACTGAACTTATCGCCTCCTCAACCCAAATTTACATCTAATACTGAGTCAAGAAGAACTGAAAGAAATGGCCACTTTGGGAACTGTGCTTTTTTTTTTTTAAAGGCAATTGGGGTTAAGTGACTTGCCCAGGGTCACATGCTAGTAAGCATCAAGTGTTTGGTATGAGGCCGGATTTGAACTCAGGGACTCCTGACTTCAGGGCCGGTGCTCTATCCACTGTGCCACCTAGCTGCCCCAGGGAATTGTGCTTTTAAGAAACAACGGTAAATTTTGTAAATTTCTTCATTCTGTGAATTAAATTACTCTGCTGTCTTTAGTATGAACCAAAAAGTTAGGAATATCTTCTTTTCCAATCTGCAAAGAGTGAACCCCCAAATCAAGGTCTGTTAAAATGACTGGAAATCATTCAAAATTTGTTGGAAATAAAATTATTAGAAAAACTAAGAAGGAAACAGCTGCAGTGTGTTCATCACAACTCCTCAAATCACAAAATTAAATAAAATGTTGGCTATATATTTCTTGCTACTGTCATCAATTACATCAAATCACATGATGACATTTGAGCAAGATGGTCTTCTTTTAGAAAGAAAACAATCCTTGTCTAATACAGATAAAAACATAAAAGAGAAAAACATGAGGAAGGAACAAACAGTTCTAGTTACAGTCCCTTGCTTTACACAATGGACCAACCATTAGGTGGTTAAATAATAGTTTAATATTCTCAGAGAAAAAAATACTCAAGGAGGTGTATAAAGCCCATGTATTTATACACTGTGGCACTAAATGTGGATGAAAGGCCACTGTAATTACCATACTTACTGAACACTGTAACACTGGAAGGAACTGTCAGGATACTCTGGTTGGAAAGGCTGTTGACTCTCCACAGTTCCAAACCACCATGCGTCATCTATTATACTGCGAAATCTGTCACCTAAAATGTTTGTTAAAGAGAATCGTTAAAAGGCACTCATCCTTCCTGTTAAACAAACGGAAATCTACATATCTACAACTGTAAGGATTCGAGGCAAAGACATTTCTGAGATAACTTCCAGCACCAAAACATCTTAAAATTTTTTAGCTAATTGTAAGTCATTTCTAAGCATTTTTTCAAAAGGTATTACTTTTTTTCTATCTTCTTAAATGTAGAATACTGAAAATAACTGACTGTTTTCTAGACATGAGTATCTATTACTATTAAATAATACAGTTATGTTGGCTGAGTATTCCTCCTCCAAGTCACACTGTCCAACGTCACATCTGCTTTCGCTGTGCCTGCATCTAACAGGCCGAACACTGCCTTTTTACTAGCTTGCTATGGGTCAGAAATTCAGAAAACTAAGTTGGTTAAGAATTATAGGTTAGATACACATGAATGAGGCTCCAGGTAAGCTGGATAAGAGTGCATGGTTTCTATATAGGAACTTGGTAGCAGTTTCTTCAAGGAAGGAAGTTTTAGAGGTGAGGAAGGGAGTATTATTGTGGAAGGCATCAAGACTATATACATAATCCCAATATTGTTCTAGGAACTTGAAGATGACCTCTTTTAGGTTGGGTGGGATTCCAGAGGAGGATTTATGAGAGGTCCTGTATATGGATCACACAGGTAAAGAAGAGGTGACATTTGCACCATTGCAGGAAATGCCCATACTGATCAAATCAGGAAGCCTTACTACGTAGCCAAAAAATTAAAACCTACTTTGTTTTCCTATTTTGGTTGTTTTCCAAAAGCTCTTGCAGGCTGAACTAGTTACTTCCTCTTACTATGAAAGTTCTTTATTAAAGCATGGAAGTTCTTTGCATATTATGTTATTCAACCTTTAGATTGGAAGGACCAAAAATAATCATCAATGTCATTTCATCTTCCAGCTTAGGCCGCACTATATACATATAATCCCTTTTCCCCTCTTTTAAAAAAATCAATTTTATTTCATTTCAGATCTGCATCTTCTTCCTCCTACCTCCCCCACAGAAAAAGCAAAAAACTCCCCAACCTATTAAAACACTGGCATGTATATATAGTCGAGCAAAACAAATTCCCACATTGGTCATGTACCAAAAGAAAAAAAATACAGCTCAATCTATACACTGAGTCTATCACCTTCCTTTCTTTTTCATCACAAGTTCCCTGAAATTGTGGTTGACCATTAGGCCTAAGTAGTTTGTCTTCAAAATATTGTGGTTATTATATAAAAATTGTTCTCCTAGTTCTACTCATTTCACTTTACATAAGTTTATAAAACAAGTATTCTCAGGTTTCTCTGAAACCGTCCCCTTCATTCTTCCTTACAGCATCAATAGTATTTCATTATATGCATATGCCATAACCTGCGGATGGGCAACCCCTCAGACTCCAAGTCTTTGCAACCACAAAATGAGCAGCTAGAAAGATTTTTCACCTATTGGTTCTTCCTTCCCCCTTTTAATCTCTTTGGTAATTAGACCTAGTAGTGGCATTGCCGGGTCAAAGAGCATGCTTTCCAGAAGAGCTGATCCCATACATATATACTCTTCTCCATGGTATACAGGATCACAGAATCCTAGGATCTAGATTGAACCTTAGAAGTCGAGTCTAACGCCCTCACTGTAAAAAACAAAGCAACTGAACCCCAGATAAGTCAAGTGACACAGGAAGTTAGAGGCAGAGCTAGGATATGAACACAGCCTTCCGATTTCAAATTCAGTGCTTCTGAAATTACACCACAGATAGATATCTCCATAATATCGGAATTCTTTGTTGGGGGTAGGTTTAAGAGGAAAAGGGATTCGGATTTGTGAGTTCATCAGTGGAGAAAGCTACCAGTAAGGAAATTTCCTCTGCCAATTCAGTTCACAACTAACCTGCAATCTTTATAGGAATAGAAGAACCGACTAGGGAATTGAATGAAAGATTAAGTGATTTGCCCAGGGTCACATAGCTGGTATGTTATATAGGAGAAGTAAGACCTGAATCCAGGTTGTCCTGGCTCTGTGTCTGGCTCTCTTTAGCTTCCACTAAACTAAAGGAACTGGTTAATCCAAGACCAAGTCGATTTTCATTTTGGTGGTATAGCTCATTTAACACTTAAGGTTAAAAGAAGTTTAAGAACTCAAATTAATTTCAATGAGCAATCTTGGGCTCAGAAAAAAAGCAGAAGAAACATACATTCCTTAATGTCTGTTTGCAGGGCAGAGAGAGATAGAATGCTGCTTACATCGTCAAGATGTGGTTCCTTTGTTGTCTGGTTTTGCTTAAAAGTATATTTCTTTGTTGGGGGTGGGGAAAATGAGTATGTTAGGAAATGTCAATTACAGAAAAAAAAGTATCTTCAAAAAATGGGGGGAAATACGCTCATGAAACATATCTAGTCCTGATCAGTTGCTGATAGCAGCCATAGGTACAAATTAGCATGTGACTGATTATATACAAATTATCGCATACTTGGTGAAAATTACTTATCAGTCATTCTGTAAACCACTGTAAAGCTTCTCAGCTGAATGCAATTGCTACAAATTAAGGAATCGCTTGCATCTTTAGGTAGAATTCAAACATTTGTCGTTGAAATGGATGCACTATGTGTATATATTTGTAACAATACAGTCTGTTGCTGATTATATAAACACACACATATGTGTGTATATGTTTTCTTGGATATGTATGTATGAATATCCATTTGGAATTATTATTTTAAGAAATAAAGCAACAAGTTTGAGCTCAGGGGAATCAAATGGGCATAAATTATATAGATTGAAAAAAAACCCCTGATTTGGTGTCATGCCAAAATTTTGAGAATGAAAGGATTGTTCATGGAAAGGAAACTGGCTCAGAAGTTGGAATAGTTGGACAGTTCTCCAAATGGAAAAGTATGCATGGTAAGTAGGTGGCCCCTTCTGTAAAGAATGGGGGACCTGGGTAGTAGGAGACCCTAGTTTAAAAGTTGTATAAATGATCATGGAGGACAACATAGGGAAACACACTGAGATTTCAGATAACATTCAACTCTCCTAGACAGTGAAATTTCAAGTAGAGTTTCTCTCTCTTTTCTTCAAGACAGAATGAAATCTACATGAGGAGGTATCATTAATGTGGTCAGGTGCATCTGCTTTTTCATGATTGGCTCTGACCCAAGCCAAAAAACCTGTAGTAATCAGATAGAATAGTTAGAAAAAAAAAGTTAGAAAACAAAGGCCCAAGACTCTCCTGTGTTCAGAAAGGCCAATAAAATGCTGGGCATGATTACTGTTATTATCAACTCTGATTATACAAAAACAGGGTTTCATCTGCACCTCGGAGAAATAGGGCAGCTTTGGTTATACCAACTCAAAAAAGATATAATAGAACTAGAGAAGTTCCAGAGAAAAGAAAACAGTTCCTGGCACACAGTAGGTGTTTAATCAATGTTGACTGATTGATTGGTTAATAAGATGATGCCAAAGTGGAGCTGCTGTGTGAGTACAGTCTAGACTGATTCATTTTTTTGGTTCCCAGTTCACTAATCTGGCAAAACAAGGGGCTGGATAAGATCAAGAGTTCTTAACCTGGGATCTACAGGTTTCATTCCATTAAATATTTCTAAAGGGCCATAAACTTGGATAGGAAAATAATTACAACTTTATTTTCACTAATCTCTAATAGAAATTCAGGACTTCCTTCAATTATTAATTTTTCAAAAATTAACCTTAAAAGTAATCAATAGGTTTGGTCAGCTTGCCAAAAGGGTCCATGATACAAGAAAGGTTAAGAGAACCCTTGAATTAGATGATTTAAAGACATTTATAATTTAGGTCCTATGAATCTCTACATTTGAAGATTATTCGTCTGGAAATATTGAGAATAGACAAAATTGAAGACTAAAAGTACAGACAATGTGCACCAATTAATTAATGCCTACATGAATGCCAATAATTCAGGTTTGAAAGAAGAACCCTTAGGACCAAAAAGAAGTGATTCTTTACACAATAGGTAGCATAGCTATGGGATTCTTGTTAATAGAAGTCTATTAGGTGCAGGGGATAAAAAAAAAAAAGAGGTCCAAAAAAGATTTGACAGAAATTAATGGATTTAGATCCACAGAAAATGTGTGTGCTATCCCTAAGTTTCTGAAATTATGTCACAGAGAGAAACCTATGACTTCATTCAACTTTCCTTTGTGGCAAATACCAGAATCAAAATACTGTGCTAGACACATCTCATGTCAATTCTCCCATCTTCAGGTGGACAGGTCATTTTAACTAATTATCCATTAACAAACTGAAAAGCAGTGGAGATAATAAGCTGCTACATTTATGTTATCATCATAAATACCACACCCTTTTGCTCCAATACAAATCCATTTTGAGATCTTTTAGTCAGCAACGAAAATAAAAAATCCATTTATTTACCTTTAAGTACTGCCCATAAAAGGTGGCAAAAATCTACTTACCAGTCTGCCAGTTCCTTTCTTTGGCTTCATTATAAAACTGATGGAGAACAAGGAAATCAATAACATCTGGCATATCGTGGTACCTTTGTAGGAAAAAGAAATTTATATATTTCTATAAATATGCCCTGTGTCTACCATACAATAGCTGTACACCCTGGGGGCAAGGCCTTTAACTTCTCAGTGCCTAGGCAACTCTGTGATCCTGTAAGTTAGATCAAGCTGCCAAAAAGTTCACTATACCAATGAAATCATAAATCCAATCCCTTCCCATAAAGTACAGAGGCAATACTAATAAACTCCCATTTTACTAGTGCCTGAAGGTTCAAAAAACCTTTCCTTGATAACAACCTTACAAAGTAGGCAATGACAGAATTATAAGCCCCACTTTACAGAAAAGGGCACAGAGGCAGGCAGAGATGAACTGGCTGGCTGCTCCCAGGCAGAGACTGAAGCACAGGGGTTCTGCCTCCAAGGCCAATGTTCTTCTGCCATCACTATATGCTCCCACCCATTCGAGGCCTATCAATATCAAGGCTGTCAATATAAAGGTACAAAGGTATAGAATCAGGAAATCCAAGTGTCTTGGGAGGGAAGTCATTTGAGGTATGAGGTATCACCAAGCACACAGGTGCAAAGAGTTTGACGCAGTTACGCCTAAAATGCATTCACTTTGCACCCCAAGCATACAAAGGGGCTATTTGATGGAAGCTGTGCCTAACTTATTAAACATATTCAAAAGTGATAAAATGTTCCTGTCAATTTGCTTCACAAAATTGCCACTAAAACTAAATTCACGGGGTCAGGTAAAAGTTTAGCAAAACATTAAACATAACTTAAGGTTCTAATTAAGTTGCCCAAAACTTACAATCTGGCCATCAAAATAAAAGCCACTATAAATAACAGGAGCCGCGGATGCTCTTCCTCTACAATAAGACTGGACACTCTTCAAGGGTAGGGATTTTATCTGACCCTGTAAATTCAGTTTTAGAGGTAATTTGTGTCTTGGAATTTCTTCTAATACTCACATCCCAATTGAGGAGCAAACAGGAGCTGCTATATGCTGCACGTGTAGAAGGTATTCGATAAAAACTTAGTGCTCTCATCATAGAATCTTTTTTGTCAAATTCAGCACTATGACCAGAATATGCTACTTACTTAATGGAAAAAGATTCTCCAGTCATTTTGCCTGAGATGGGATCCAGAAATGCGAGCTTCAAGCAGCAAAGTGTAGGTGGTCCAATTTCATATTTGATTCCCACAGTCTTCACAAATTCTTGCTCCTATTCAGAAGATACCAAAGAAATATTGTTTGATGTAACTGCATAACACATACATCTTATTTTATCATGAGGCAAGTCTGTAAATTGCCCATTTTCCATCACAGGGCCAGAATGAACTCTGAGGAAGAATCACATTCATTTGCTTTTTCCAAATAATTCAAACAGTTTCCTGTCCTGTTTCTAAATCTGCAGAAGAAGGCTCAACTACACAGCCTAACACCCCATGTCCTTAACTTTAATTCACCTTACAAATTCCTACTACTAAAATAAAATACATCTCTTATCTTGTCTTCATAAGAAAAATTGGCTGATTTCAATTCAACAACTATTACTAATTGTATCAGTGACATACAAAACAAGTCCTCAGCCTCTTTTACTGGATCTTCACCCAGGTAATACCCACTAACTGTGGGTGCCCCACAAAGTTTTCTTCTCCCTCATCAGCCCTCATGGATTCCATGATCATCTTTTTTTTTTTTAAGGCAATTGAGGTTAAGTGACTTGCCCAGGGTCACACAGCTAGTTAAGTGTCAAGTGTTTGGTCTGAGGCCGAATTTGAACTCAGGTCCTCCTGACTTCAGGGCCGGTGCTCTATCCACTGTGCCACCTAGCTGCCCCTATGACCATCTTTATGCAGATGATTCTATATGTCTAACCCTCTCTCCCAAACTCCAGCTTCACATTTCCCCACTGCCTACTGGCAGCTGCAACAGGATGTCCCATACACACCTCAAACTCATTATGACCAAAACCGAATTCATTATCTTTCCTCCTCCAGGGGTGGGGAACCTGTGGCCTCAAGGCCACATGTGGCCCTCTAGGTCCTCAAGCGCAGCCCTTTGACTGAATCCAAACTTCACAGAACAAATCCCCTTCAGAAAAGGATCTGTTCTGTAAAACTTGGTCTTGGTCAAAAGGCCGCACCACACCCAAGGACCTAGAAGGCCACATGTGGCCTCAAGGCCGCAGGTTCCCCAGCCCTGTGCCCTAAACCCTTCCCTCTTCCTGACTTCCCTATTATTGTAGAAGGCACCACATCTTTCCATTCATCCAGGTTCGCAACTTTAGGAGTTGGCCTAGACTCCTCACTCTCTCTCACTCCCCACATCCAAACTCTTGTCAAGGCCTGTAAAATATGGAGAACCACACAAACATCAGGAATTATTACTGGAAATAGGCACGAGGTTCATTCAAATGAAAGAACCTTGAACTTCTCTCAGCCTGTTTCCTCAACTGCAAAACAGTGATAGTAATAGCACCAACTTGAGGGTTGTTGTGAAGATCAGAAGAGATCATATTTGTAAAGCACAATGTGAACCTTCAAGTGCTCTATAGAAGTGAGCTTCCATCACAATCACCACCAACGTCTTTCCCCTAAACGCTCCTCTCACTTCAGAACTTCCTTCTTATTGCTGACGCTCCCACTTGGACCAGGCAGCAGCCTCTCAATTAGGATAAAAAGAAGAAACCAGATGAGAACTAAAAACATTTAAAATTTAAAAAATGAAAACATGACACACCCATTTCAATTAAACTCTCGGTGTCATAGGTCACTGCAGACCCCTCTGTATTATGATGACTCCACATCAGGCCTGTACAACCTGCGGCCTGTGGGCCTGCTCTACATGGACCATTCCTTCCACCGCTACCCTGGACTCTGCCCCCAGTCCCTTGGTTCTGATGGGGCTGGCAGGGCCCAGCCATCTGCAGTCCTTGAAAGGAGGGACTACTCTTGCTTGCTTTACATTTGTAACCACAGCGCCTGGTACATTATCAATACAAATTCTATAAATGTGAGAATTAGTCAGGAAATTCAACAACTACTGATTCAGTGCCCTTAAGGAGTTAATATTCTTTTGAGGGCTAAGAACATGTACACCATTGAAGAAACACCTAGCACTCTAGGTACTTCACATGTGTTAACTAATCTGATCCTAACAACTACCTCATGAGGTAGGTATATTACTTTCCCCATTTTACAGATGAGGAAACTGGGGCTGGGAAAGGGTGACTTGCTCAGTATCAAAGAGCTAGTAAGTGTCTGAGGCAGGATTTAATCTTAGGTCTTCCTGACTCCAAATTCAGCAATCTACCCACCACAGTTTTTCAACCTGAACTATAACTAGGACTTCTCTGAGATGGGAGGGTACAGGAAGTGTATCCAAGAATGGTGCAACTAAATGCATGGAAGGAGATAGAATGTTACAAAGAGTCAGTCCCCCAGTTTACTGGGGATGATGAGTCCATGAATTGGAGAAATATGGAATTCAGCTTGCAGAAGTAGGTTAGAGTCCGACTGGGGAAGGGTTTGGGAGCCATTGCATATTCTGTGTGTAGGAGTGACAGGATGCACTCTGTGTTCTACAGCCTTACCTTGCTGTGTGGAAGGGAGAGATGCTGGAAGCAGGGAGACTATCGCAAAAGTCTAGGCAGGAATTAAGAACAATAAAAACAAACCCTACACAATTGCTAAGTCTTCCAAGGCCATAAATTGTTTAATTCATTTGCAAGGGTACTTCAAAGATATAAGTTCAAGAACTTGGGAAGCTTACCCTGAGGTCCATTTTGTTCCATGGCTGTTTCTGCAAATTAACACTGTATATTTTTGCTTTTCTTACAGCCCGCACATAAGCTTCATGGCCTTGCCTAAAATATATCAGCTAAGGGAGAAAAGAAAGGTCTTAAATAAAATGTCATTTTGAAATTCTATATCCCCAAACACTCTAACAAACACCATCTTCTGTTTCTGTCACCCAGCAAAAATGTTCCAGTGTTCATCCTTGGCACTCAAGTGCTACAGGAGGAAAATGAAACCGAATGACCTCAGTGATTGAACGTCTAGGTAACAGCAATCATTCACATACATAAAGAGACAACACAGTGCCAAGACAATTAACAACCATTCTAGAAGTGAATTTTCATCAAGTCAGATCTTCCTGCATGACTCCCTGCAACATTATCTGCCACGTGTAACATAATCCGTGCTCCAAACACACAACCATTAACAATGAAGATCTGCTATATTCATAGTAATAAAGGGGATGAGGTTTCACTTGCATAAGACAGCCAGATAAGAGTCCAGTGAAGAATGTCAACTGCCCAGTAGTATAAATCCATATACTGTAGAACTACGGAAGTTATATAGAGGCTCCTACTTTCTAAGAGCAATTAAAGTGTTGACTTAATTTTTGATTATGGGGACCTATACGGTTTGGAACTGCATTACCCCGACAGTCCAAAATAAACTAAAAGAAGAGAAATCAGAATTTAAAGGAAGTAGGCAAACGGGTCAGTAGTTACCCAATTTTGGATAATTTCTACCACACCAGGTTTGTTTTGTTTTGTTTTGGGTGTTAATACCATGATCATGCTTATTCGTTTGGAATTCACTCTTCTTTGAGATAATACCTTGAAAATCCATCCCTAAGTGCCTTCCACAATATGTCCTCTCTAGCAGGGATGTATTCTGTGCATATTGCCGAGGTCAGGTCCAGCTTCTTTTCCCACCTTGATTTCCCTGAATGCTACTTCCACTTCCATCCAACATACTGACAGACCCAAATGCACTTCTTACATTACTATCAAGTAGGTGAAAAAGTGCCTACAGATACAGCTGTGAGATCAGTTTGTTGTTCTCTTCTGATATTCACTTACAAAAAAATGCTCGTGGGCTGAAATGGCTTAGTTGAGGTTAATGTAAAGTTTCTACAGACTCATTTTCCCCACTGCTGAGTTTGTACTTTCAACTAGTGCTATCCATAGCTGCCATTTTTATTTGCAAGGAGACCTAAGTGTGTTTTGGTTAAAGAGGTTTCTTGGGTTTCTTTTGGTCTCCTTGTGAATGTTAATCAGTTAAACTTGGCAAAGAAATGGTAGTAAAGCTAGCCTTGATGTTCATCTATTTCTCATTTTTCAGAATCAATAATCACTAACATCTACTTGATTATAGACATAGCACTAGTAACAGCAGCTGGGTCAAACAGGACATGCTGGGATTGCATGTGGTACTTTTTAATCTTTACTTTCATCCAACTTGATCTTAAATTTGACCTTTGCTCTGATCAGCTGATCTGACTGTATAATGAAAACTAATTCAGAAATGACTACCACATCAGTAATCAGTCATTTTTTGGTCTGAACTCTGAAATAAGAGTTTTTATTTCATCTTTTTTTTAAAGCTATTTGGAGTTTGCTACATCCAGGGCTTTTGGGCAATCTTCCTAAAGAAAGTCTGCATGGCGTGCAGGGATGAGGATGTGAAATAATCTTCAGCCACTTGCCCTCTGTATTATTTATTCCCAAACCACATATTTCAACATGCCTTCCACCATAGTCCCCCTACGTCTAACTCTTCCCTGACATCACCAAGTAGCAAACTGTGTGGAACTGGTTGGGAGGACACAGTCAAATTTGCTTGACTGTATACTCATTTGTTATATGGAAAGAAGGGGAGAGAAAAATTGAGATACTAATGCCAAGAAAGAAACATTAAAATGAAACGAATATTAAAAAATAGACAGGAAAGTACCAAAGAAGTTTCGAAGTGGACAGAGACAAAGACACTTGTTACTAGGGTAAAATATTCCTATTTGTTAAGTTCATAATAAATAAAATTTCAATTTAAAAAGTGAAAATATCAGTCAGGAGTAAGTTGTCAAGTTCTTCATAGAATTTCTCTACTTCTTTAACCTTGGCAACACATTGGTACAAAAACTCTCACTAGCTTTGTGAATCTCCCAAAGCATCATGAGAACTGCAAATCAAGATGATCAAGTAGCCCATTCAATGATGTTTCTCACTGCCTTTGGGGCATGATGCTGCCAGCAATGCTGCTCCCTCCGCTGGTTTTTCTGACAAAAGCCTATAACCTACTCTTTTATTTGGCTTAATGTCTTCCTATGTGACCAAAATGGAAGGGCTTCAGCTCCTACAGCAATGTATCAGCCAGCAGGATATTGACTCCACTGCAGGTGGAACAAGGTCTCTCATCAAAACCAATGTTAGTTATGTTAGTTAGTTATGTTAGTATTTGTAAAACGGTCAAAAAATTATAGGGTTCTTAAGACCTTTTGCACTAAACAAAATATTTAAACAACCAAAACTGATGTTTGGCAAAGATGTAATATGTATTTAGGTACTCTGGCACATCTAATTGTCCAAACACAGTCTTGCAAATAGGGTCCAACATTGCAGAAGTGCCAATACTTTCAACATTCCCTTGCTCAACAAAAGGTGTCCTTGGCTGATTCATAACAGTGTGGTAGTAACCCAAAATCTTCCAAACCAGAAGAGTATAAGCTCTCCCAAAGTTCTGCCTGAGGTTTCACTAACATGTTGGAGAAACTATACAAACCTTCTGGTGCTTCAGAGACAACATCACAATTTTTATAAAGAAATTTAGAGCTATGACTTCTTGTTTAGAGAGATTTCATAAATTTTATACTAGCCAATTACAAATATGGTTAACTATATTTATTAATTTATTCAATAAAATACCCAAAAGGAAGGAGTGGTTTTCTTTGGTTTTATTTTTTGGAACTTTTCCAATTAAGTTAAGTTAATGAAGTTCTGAAAAATGCCAATCTTCCAGAATTAAAACTTGCATTTAGGATCAAATTGCAATAGCTGCTTTTTTAAATTTAAAAGAAAAAACACTTAATTTTTATTCTAAGCTGAATCCAAATAAAATGGGCATTTCCATATACATAGATAAGAAAAAGAAAACTGTACATGAAACTGCAAATCTGTCCATATCTTGCTTTTCTTTGGAAATTCACAATGTAAATTTCAAAGCTTTCTCTGAGTCTTTCTGCCTTTCCTTTTGTTCTTGTGTGCACTTAGAAATATCTTCTCAATTCAACTATTAGAAGTGAAGTCACCAGAGAAAATAATGAATAGTTTTCATGACTATGCAAGCCAATCAATAAAAGTCACCTCATCTCCCATCTGTGGAACTAATGGGGAACGGCGTGGGATGGTATCCAAGATCCACTGCGGTGCAAGCCACTCTTCACTGGGTTCACCTGTTACAGCAGGCAGTCCACTAGGTTTCTTAAAAATACAAATGAGACATCTATAAGTTATAAATACATGGATAATAACCTATCAAACATTAAACACAGCTGGTCCATAGTGTATCCTAACATTTCATTTTCAAGCTTTTTCTTTCAAGAGTTAATGAAAACTTTCCTCACAATACAAGTCTTTCGGATGCTACCCAAATTAAAGCAAGAAATACTAATTATTTTGAAACATACACTATATCTTTAATACAAGTATTGCTGTTCTATGACCGTACATGAAATGAAATGCAATCCATAATGTTTTTGCTGATGCTAGATCTCAATCTATCAATGAAAGAGGCAACAGAATGATTAACTATAGTATTTTAGATTTAAGGAAATGGAGGGATCACACCTTATCACCAGGGAACGCTAAAAATGACAAATAAAACTGTCACTAAAGAATGAAAAAAATGCAAATTAAACAAAAAAAAACAATAGTAAAGGAATTACATACTGTAGAATTTACTTTTTGCTGCTTTTCCAAATAGAGGGGGAAAAAAATTCATGAATTCCAGACTATTAGAGAAAGGATTCATGCTATCTGAATATTTTAGAACTGTGAATAACAACTTAAAACAAGCCAAAGAATAAAAACTACCTTTAGAGAACAGAAAAAAAAACCCAAAAAACACCACCATCTAAAACCAGTTACATGTTCTCACAAAGTAGATTTTAAATCCATTTAGTCTTTCAGTACTAAAAACATATGAACGACCAAAAACTTCAGCTTTCAAATTCCAGACCTTTTTTCTTGTCTGTTTTGGTTTACTTTTCTTTTCTTCTAGTGATTTAGTATCCTTTAAATTTTCTTCCTCAGAGCTGATACATATTTTCCGTGTTGTCTGTCTGGTTTGTCTCTTCGGAGGTTGCAGATTAATTCCAGCATCTGCTGTCCAATCAGAATAATCACTTGATGAATCACTGCAAATAAAACAAATGTACAAAGAGCTTAGTAATGAAGAGCAATTGTTTGGTTCACATTTAAATTTGACATGTTCATTTTTAAAATGTATACATGGTTGGCATTTGTACTAGCATAAAGAGAAAATTCATTACTGTATTACCAAAATTATTTGTATGGAGATGTTTTTTGATAAAAAAGGTGGCATGGCAGCTAAGAGGATCCATAAAGCAGTGCAACTGGCTGCCGAAACAGGTTCTGATCAGACACTTTCTAAATAAATATAAGTATTATTTCAAATATTACTCCCAAGGTGTCTGTTGAAACTGAAATACGATTCATGTGTGTAGTGCTGAGACACATGCGATTTTAATTTGTACTTCAGCAGATTCATGGAACTTTCAGGACTCATCTCCAACAAAATTGAAGAAGAATTTGGAATAAACATAGTTACAAGTACCTGGAGGAGCTTTCCATCTGCCACTCGGCTACAACATCATCTGCAGACGCATCACTAGTGCCTCCAGTTTCCTCTTCCTGCAATCAAAATCAAATCAAGTCTTCACTGTCTCTTCCTGGTATGATAGCTCAGTCAGTTCTGCTATAATGTGTGTTTTGAAAACTCCCAATTTGTTCCAATATGACTGATCTATTAGAGAACATTTGGAGCATAATGCAATTTCACATTTGCTTATGTGAAATTTCATCCATGAAAACACATTGAGAACATAGAAAACTGCACCACTTCACACTAACTCCCAAGCTGCACCCCTAAAGATGCCCACTTCCAAGCAAAGGGCAGGTCTTTTTCAAGGTTAAGTACCACATTTACTGGGTTGGTTGACTGATCCAAGTGACTTCAGATTCTTGAATTGATGTTTAATATTATTTTAATATAGTTTAACAAATTATATGGCTCTGATGGACTCTGAGGGCACATTCTTAGACTTTTATTTTTCTTAACCACGATATTGGCAAACATGAAGATATGCTCTCAGTAACTTCACACATTGTGACTGAAAATCCATTTATACCAGGGTGGAATATTGTAACAATTTCTTTAGTGTCTCTTTAATTAGGTCATTCTTAAAGTATCACATACATGCTACTTTAATTGTTACTTCATCAAAATTCTTGTGTTCTTGCTTCAACTGAAATGAATAAATGGGATAGGAGTTATTCACCTACACAGACAGGTTATTTGGAGGTGATTGGAGAATGTGCTCTCAGTGCATTGTCTTAATATTTTTTTTTAATGGGGAGATAATTCACAGAGATTGGGAGATAATCAATCATGATTACAGGAAGCTCTGTGCACTTTGTGTTACTCTATAGATTTTTCATTTGGCATTCCTAAGTTGGTCACTTTCAATGTGATCACCTGGTTTCCAAAATTGGTTGAAGTTGATAAAACATCAAAAGTCAGCCCACATTTAAAGAGCAACCTGGCTCAGGGACATAAGAGAAGGCCTGGAGTGCAGCCTGGGAGAGCAATGAGACAGTGCCATATTTACTGCATGTCTTCAGATGCAGCAGGAGCTATGGGCCGAGGAAAGTTGGTTCATACCCCTCCTTCCCCCTTCAGTCCTGAATCCTGAATCCCCCAGTAGCTGAAGATTTTGCCATCTTGGATTCTGTGGGAATCAGGGGGCAGGCTGAGCAGCATCCAGACACTGTTTGACACTGTAGGTGTCACAAATATTTATTGTAGGATTCATATGTTTCTTAACCATTCAACATGTATCAAAGTGTGCTATCATTTTTATTAGGTTTCTTTTTTATAAATTCCACTGACCAAGGTTCTGAGTGTTGACCCCCAATTCCAAATTTCCCCTAAGCCCTATGGTTTTTATTTGCTCAATTTTGTATAGCTTGGTGATTTGGAGGAACACATATCACTTGATAGCAGAAATGACTGCATAACAAAGTACTGAACAACTTGTGTCGCAGGAAAACTCCGCAACATTTTAATTAAATGTTTGCAGGATTTCTTCTATGTATCTTTGTGACTGGATTTAGTACATGCTTATAACTAAGCACAAGTTATAATTTCAATAGCAACTGTCACATGATGCAATTTTCAATATTTTAAATCCCAAGCATACCTCTTAAGCCTAAGCCCAAGGATATCGTTTCTTACATTAAAAATTAATTATTTTAAAAATAACTAGGTGTCTAATCAATACACACCCAGTTATTATACTAAATGAAACGTTTCAAATATCAAGGGTTGAGGCAAATCTTGTAAACCAAGTAAAGCAATGCTTATAATAATGTAGAGGAAATATAGGATTTTAAAACGGTAACTCAAAACTTCCTGAGGACCAATAAATCCCGCAGTGGAGTGGGGACCACAGGTGTAGCATGACATGCCATCAGACATGGGGAGTGTGTTCCTTGGTTTTGCTTGGCTGCCCTTTGTTACAAAGTATGTCGAGGAGGAGGAAGAAGGTGGGGCATTAGGAAGTGATAGTGATAAGGGGGAGAATCATCAATAAAACATTCAAAAAGAATAAACGAATGAAGCTGAAGAGCAAGCTACAAGTATTACTGTGAAAAAAAAAACAAAGTTAAAGCACAGGCCAAAAGAAATGGGAGACTAAGGCAAAGGAGGAAAAGAAGAAAATTGTCATGTTGTTTTCCCCATTCCCTTATATTTTCATATTATGTTGATAGCTTGCATTTTTGGAGAACTACCCATTCACATCCTTTGACTATGGATCTCATACTGACAGATTTGTATCGATTCCCTATCTTGGACATCAGACCCTCACTGGAAAACTTTGCTACAAAGATCACTGCCCAGTTTGTTCTTCCCCTTTTAATTGCACTGATGCTACTTGTATAAAGGCTTTTGCATTTTACGTAACACAAATTGTACATGTTATCTTTGTAAACATCACTATCCTTTGGTCAGGAACTATCCAGAGTTAAAGGTGTCGCCTTAATTTCTCCTCTTATATGTTTATGCTATGATTCTGGTCATACTTCCTCATTCCCGGAAAATGTTGCGTCACTTACAAAAAGCTGTTTGGGTTTATTCTATCCTCCGGTGTATCATTCTACATATGACTTTTACTCAGCAGTTAAGGATCTACCAGACAGACAAAAATGCAAATAAGAGAAAATATGCATATTGTATGGATTTCACATGTCATAATTCATTAACACCATTTGCATTTCAGTTTCTTCCTATCATCAACTAGGAATATTCTCAATAATTGTCACAAATAAATAATTTTGGAAGCATTTTGGCAACAATGCCAAACTAGATAACAGTAAAGCAGGCTGAAAGAATACAATGAATTTGAAAGCTCTGTTCTAGAACATGGCCTCTCCAGAAGGGTAAAAGGGACCCAATCATAGAATCTCAGTTGTGGAAAGGCTCCCCAGAGACCACAGAGTCCAACCAATCAATACCCGTACACACAGCCAATAGGTGGGTATCTCTTCGGCATATGTAGCTCTAATCATTAAGCAGTTTTTCCTTACATTGAGCTCAAGCCTTCCTCCAATGTATTCTAACTCCTACCCACCGCTTCTCAAGGATCACACAGAATAAACGTAATCCCTTTTTTAATCCCTTCAAATATTAACAACATCTATTATAATATTCTGTCACCCAGGCTAAGTGTCTACGTCTACTGTCTTCAACCAGGCCTCATATGTCAGTTTCGAGGCCTCTCACCATCTGGGGAACCCTCCTTTTAATTACTTCTACCTTAAGGTCCTTCTTACCAAAGCTGTAACCAGGAATTCTTACACATGAGCAAAGTATCACATACTACACCAAGGGCAAGAGGTAAGAAGCTCATGGAGTGACCATTTAAAAAAAGAAGAAATGAAGGCCCAGAAAAGTAAAGTGACTTGCCCAAGATCAAAGAGCTAGTTAGTGGCAGAACCAGGATTCAAATCGAGATCCTCTGAATCCAGTGATCTCTATTCTGCACTGTATTTATGCACCTCATTTAAATCAAACAGCTTTGCAAAGTATCAGTTGTAAATTCATGTGCCAAAGAGCTTTTTGCTTGTCCCATCTGAATTTAGGGAGCAGATATCTTAGGATGAACATTCTTTCTTTTACTAAAGTGATTCTATTCCCCTCTTTCTATATTTTCAATCTGGTCCCCCTGCCAAAGGGTAAGGAGGCATAGAATCCAGGAAAGGTAATGCCCTGTCACCACCCTAGCCTTGTCTCCACACTGCCAACGAGCGCTCTGGCCTCCCCAGCTACCCCCTCGCTAGATTGCTTCAAGGCGGTATCTGCTTCATTGGCATCTCCTTGCTCAGCTCTAAGCCAGGCCAGAGCTTCAATCTCACTAGCCTTGAAGAACCAAATGGGACAATCTAACCATAGCTCACCACCAGGGCCTACCACTGCCTTTTTCCTCACAGGAATGCTAAATACTTTTTAAAAACCTCATTCCGGAGCTTTATTATCAAGCCTTCCTTTTCTTAGCAGCTAGGCAGCCTGCAGTAGAGAGTGCCATGCCTGGAATCAGGAAGACTCACCTTTCTAAGTTCAAATCAGCCTCAGATACTTCCTAGCTCTGTGACCCTGGGCAAGTCACTTCACCCTCTTTGCCTCAATTTCCTCATCTGTAAAATGAGCTGGAGAAGGAAATGGCAAACCCCTACCATTTCTCTGCCAAGAAAACCCCAGATGGGCTCAAGAAGGAATCAGACATGACTGAAAAATGACTGAACTGACTCCTTTTCTAAATGTTTATTTACCACCCCTTTCCTTTTTGAGGCGGGGAGAGATCAGGGGTTGGTAAGAAATGACATCTATACCTGGACCAGACATTTCCTTAGTACAGGGAACTCACTTAACTTATTAGAAAGCTACCCAGGGCAGAAAAATCACTCTTGCCCAGGATCACACAGGTAATACTTATCATCTTAGTAGTAGATACTAGGCTAGGATTTTATCAATAACTAAAGTCAATTTATTAGGTCTATAATCTGAAAACTTTATAATCTTACCTGTTTGGAAAATCGGCAACAAATCTCTCAAGTTCTCCATGCTCATAGCTGTGGTGCTCAGTAATCGCATTCCCCTGTTCTTTCAGTATGCTGGGAGGTAATTTGGACGGTGTCTGGAAGCTTAATCATAGTCCAACTGGACTCATCAGGTACTTCTGTAACTTCCTTATATAACCTTTGGTTTCAACTCCCTAGTAATCACTTTGGTTCTGTTTTCTGCATTCCAGACTTTGAGGATCATTTAGTCCAACTACCTCACGGGAGGTCATCTGGCTCAAGGTCACAAAGCTTATAACTGACACAGGTGAAACTAGAACTCAGGCCTCAAAATCTCTTTGTCTCTCTCCAATCCTCCCTCCCTTCTCCCATCCCCACCCTCATGGTGCTATGACTGCTTTCTCTCGACGTCAAACAGCCCACAGATCAAGAAATAGCTGTTAAATACCTGAATCAACCACTGTGCTAGACCTTCCCTGGAGATACACAGACGAAAAAGAAATGGTGCCTGCCCTCAAGAAAATATAAAATCAGAATAAGCAAACTTGGGACTGAAGGTGCTAGCAAGATCGGCGGGGGGCCGGGGGGGGGCCGACCGGGGCAGCAACGGGGAATGGGGAATGGAGGAGTGATCACGACGGGTAACAACAGATCGGTAGCACTTGAATTGAATTTTGAAGGAAATCCGGGATTCTAAGCAGCAGAGGGGAAAAGGGATACATTCCAGGAATGAAGGATAATCAGCGCAAATGAAAGGAAACAGGAGATGGAGCATGCCTGAGGATGCAGTCAGGAGGCCACTACGGCAAGACTGCAAAGAATGAAAAGGGATGGCAGTATAAAATAAGGCTGGAAAAGTAGGCTGGGGTCTTGTGGGTCAGGCTGGAAAGGACTTTAAATGCCAAACAAAGGAGTTTATATCTGATTGTAGCGGTAATAGGGAGCCCCTGGAGTTTACAGAGTAGGGGAATGACAGGGTCAAGAATGACCTGGAGAGGGAAGAGACCCAAGGCACGGAGAACAACGAGAAGGCCGCTGCTGATATACCACGGCTCAAATTAAGGCTGTAAGCTAAGAAATGTCACATTTTTTGAGGAAAAAAATGCATTTGGGGTAAGAAAATGACTGAAAGAAATAGGAAATAAATGGCTCGCAAGATGTAAACAGTTTCAAAACATGTAAATTTAATAAATACAACATTACTAAAAGAACTACAGATGTCTGACCTCTGAGGAGCTTTCTGATTCTTCCTGGGCGAATGCATTCTGGCTTGGTGCTTGTGGATTATGTTCTATGGTGGAGCGCGTTCGGTAAGCGTGTTGGCGTTTGCGCTGTGTTCTTCGTAAAGATCGTCCACTACCAGGTTGAAAATCATTCTACAGCAAAGAAGTAGAAAGCACATTAAAAAAAAAAAGATTTGAATCTCATAAATGTTGCATGGACATATCCACAAACCCAAGCAATTAGAGAATGAAAACAAATTATATAAGAAAATACAAAATAAAGGAAATTGCTTAAGATGAACTTAAGATTCTGATTCATAGTCATTTTAATCTTGAAGCTTTCTTGTTTGTAGGACCTCATGATCAAATTAAAGGAAACACAGAACATCCAGTTATAAGTATTAATTTTGCTGATTAAGCACGAAGAAACGATTGAAACAAAACTGGAGACTTTAAAAATTTCCAAAGAAAAGCAACTTTCAAAAGAGAGCAGGCATTTGTAGTGATCTAAAAATTTTCAGTGGCCTCCCTTATAAAACAGGATATAACTATATCAAACAGACCATAAAATGATCTTTGATATAAAATACCAGTCCATAATTTTATAATCAACAAAGGACTAATAAAGAATGTTACAGTTAATTCTAAATTGCATGTGCAAATGCACGGAAGATGGGTTAAAACTACAGACAATCACAAACCATTTGTCAATTGGCTTTGGACTGCAGTCTAACCCAGACATTAAGACACCAATTTACTTGGGGTACATTGCCCAACACCAACCAAGGTTGGACTTAATACTCCAAGTTCTATTCTAGAAGGAAGCATGCAAGAGACACATTGGGTATCTACAGATGATACAAGAATGAAGAATCAAAGGTTGAACATACATACATTTAATAGATGAGCTACAGGATCATATATCAAAGATCTGGAGTAGAAGGGACCTCAAAGGCCATCTAATCCAAAACATTTATTCTTGAGTAAACTGAGGCCCAGGACTTCTCCAATGTCACACAGGACTAAATATAAAAAGATTTGAGCCTGGGTCTTTTGAATTCAGAGACCATACTTTTTATATTCAATCATGGAAGTACCATGAAAGTTTTGGCTACTTTAAATTACCATTTTTCAAAAGCAAGTTCAAAAGTCTTGTAAATTGATGACAAGGGAAATTTTGAAGTGCCTTTGTTGTAAGCAAATATTTGGTATTATTCTTATGCTCAAAAAAAAAAAGTCCCATTTCCAATGTGAACAAAAATCTTCCTAGATCACATCTCTCTTTTTTAAAGTCATTCTGTCCTTTAATAAACTGGATTAGAAGGAAAAGAGATTAACTGGGAGCAGTACTTAAAAACTGCAATGAAAATAATTCAACAGCACAAATTCTATCTTTACAAAAATTACAGTACCAAATGCAGGGGTTAAAACAATAATCTAAACAAACAAAAACAACAAACATGCGAACATTAAAATGACCTAGGTATATCTGGAGTGATTATTTTTTTTGAAAGTTAACTAAAATGGCCTTAAACAGCCAATCAAAAGACTGCCTAGAAATTTGGTGTTTGATTTCTTCTTTTCATTAGGGATTCAATATGGCTACTCCTTCTCCCACTCTAGTCATCCCAAGGTTTCCAGACTAGCCAACTTTCAAAAGCATCTGGTGACATCTGCCCATTCCTACAAGTGCACAACTCCCAATTCCAAGCTTACCAATGACTACAATCACCTTTTAATACATTTCAATTCAAAAGACATTTATTAAGTAAGATAATGTCTGTGATGCTGGTAGGGTGTGGCAACCTGGTATGAAAGGCCAATTTGAGAAATATAATGAAATAACGAGAGCATACACTGTGACTGTGTAATAAAATAAAATAAAAAGAATAAAAAGAATCGTTGTCATAACTACAAGAGAATTGCTGCAGTACAAATATCCCTATGCCCTACATGCCCTAGACACTTGTAAAATAACAACAACTAAAAAAGCCCAATGTATATAAAGAACACATCTCAAGCACTGGCTATCTGCAAATACCATAAATACTAAAAATCGTTATCAACAAATACTTACTCTCTGGACGGTATGAGATGGCTTTCTTTTCTTTTCAAAAGTATAAAGAGTAATTTCTCTTTCACCTTTTGCAGCTCGGCACTCTTCTTGTACCCTAATGAAAAAACGTCAAAGATCAAAATAATTAACTCAAATTCACCAAAATGTATGCTCATATTGATAGCGGGAATAAATGACAGAAGCAGTCTTTGAAGGGTTGTGGGAAGAAAGACACACTAATAAGCAGTGGATGTAGTAGCTATGACCTGGTATAACCAGTTATGAAAAACACACTGACTTTAAGGGAGAAGAAACACTTAACTGTTTAGACCTTTCTGACCCAATGATATCGCTTATGGGCATAGACCCCAAGAAGAGCAATAAAAAAGAAAGGTCCCATATGTAGCAAAATATTCAATTTTGGTTGACTACGATTAATGTAATTGCAATAAAATAAAAACAAAGTAGGTGGTCATCAGTTAAGGAATGACTGGCCAAATTGTGTTATAGGAATGTATTATTACACTGTGAAGAAATAGCCAATAGAATGAATTCAGAGAAATACGTCAAGATATATATATATGTACCGATACAGAGCCAAGAAAGAAGAACCAAGAGAACGATATACTCAGTGAGTGAGTAAACAAGAAACTACTACGTGCCAGGAACAACATCAATGGTAAATACTTGCTTCTCAGGTAAAAACTACATCAGCAAATAAGAGCTATAATGGAAGGAATAACTTCAAGAGTGTATGGGCCCAGCCTGTGGTATCTTTGCTTTAGAGACTTCCCAAGAAGTACCAGGTCAGCTGTGGAACCAGGATATAGGTCTATGGTGTCTTCACTACTGAGACTTCCCAAAGAACCCAATATAAGCCCAGATCTAAGCCCCTGGTTCCCTGGGCCTAAACCAGGGCTCAAGAGGCCTTTCTCAGATCAGATCCATACAGAATTACTCCATTCCTGCCTCCTGTCCAAACTCCCTCAGGCTGTAACTCTAACTACTCCTGTTGCCTTCCATGAGGCAAGGACTTAAGATCACCTAATACCATGAGGTAAGCCTTGAAGAAGGCCCATGAACAGCCCAATCATCTGCCATCTTCAATGGACAGCTCTCCGGCTCGGGATGCTCTGTCTGGCCTTACTCCTCAATGAATAGCACACACTCACCCTACTCACATCCTTCTCAGCTCAGTGATTTTGAACCCTACTGCCTTGCCTCACTCGCTTCTTCCCAATTCTCCTCAACCCAAATGTCCCACTCCATATATGCCTGGCCCTTCCACTGTGCTTTTTAGAATGCTCGCTCCATAGTTAACAAAGCTTCTTTCATCTTAAACCTTTCCCTTTTTTGCTCTTTCCACTTTCTGGCTCTTAGAAATGTCCTTGTCATGACACGGCATGCCTAGCAACCCTTTCCAGGAATGGTTGCACTCTCACTTACTGACTCACCCACTGGTCTTGGTGAGTAAGGCAGAATACTCTGTGCTCCACAATATTCTTTGCTCCATTTCCAGATTCTCCTACACCTTTCAGTAACTTCTCTTCCTCTGAGGTTCATTCAATCAAAAGATTCTGATAGCTGTCATCTACTGAGCCATAAGACATTCTTTCCTTCCTCAATGGCTGCAATATTTAGCTCACAGTCTTTCTCCCCACCTAGCTCCTCCTGGGGGACTTCAACATTCACACTGAAAGTCCTTCAGACACCCCTAACTTCAAGATTCCTCAGTCTCTATTCTCATGACCTACTCCTCTCTCTGCTCCACCTCAGCTCCTGAGATGGTCACATCCTTAGATCATGCCATTACCCACAAATATTCTTCTTGCATGTTCACAAACTCCAAAATTCCCTTATTTATCAGATTATAATCTTTCATCATTTCATCATTCCTTATGACCCCTAAGGCTATTCATCTTCACCATGACTTCCAATGCCTGAACCCCCCAGGCTTTCCCAGGCCATTACCCCTGCACTGGCTAACACTCTTTGCTTCTTTATCTTGATCCCTTGGTGAACCAGTTTGGCACGTGCCCCAACAGCTTTTCACCAAACAGGCCTTGCCCAACTCAAACCTTGGACTGCTCCGACCCTCTGTAACCTTCCTCTAATTTATGTGCCACCGGAGTTACAGATAATCAAAAGACTGTTCTGACTGGGTCCGTTACAAACTGATGTTACATAATCTCAACCGAGACTTCAGGAAAGCAATGCAATCCTTTCTCACCTTCCTAATTGATTCACTATCCCACTCACCACAGTGGCTATTCAAAGTCACTATTAGCTATTATTATTCTTGCCCAAATCTCCCAGGCCCTCGCTCTATCCCCTAGCTGAGGATAGTGCTTCATACTGCCCTGAAAGAAAGGAGGCCATTTTCCAAGAGCTACCTCTTCTCCCCTCCTCACAGGTACAGGACAGAAAGGAGTACTTGTGGTCACAGGACAGGAAAGGAGTAAACACCTCGCCCCTTATCATACCACCTTGGAAGAACTGAAAATTTACAGGTCCCTACAAGTATCTCTGAAAACAGCTGTACAAACCCCTGAAGCTTGGGACAGTACACTCTCCACATTGGAAGCAGACTCTTACCTTATCAAAGAGTTTAAAACTCAAGTAATTGGCCAGGATCATGAGCAAGCAGCGCAAAAAGAGACAGACTATATTATCTTACTTTGGTGAAAAAGAAGATCAAACTATACAACCAGAAGAAGACAACAAAATCAAAGCTCCTACATCCAAAGCCTCCAAGAAAAATATGAATCAGTCCCAGGCCTTGGAAGAGCTCAAAAGGGATTTTGAGAAGCAAGTAAGGGAAGTAGAGGAAAAACTGGGAAGAGAAATGAGAGTGATACAAGAAAATCATGAAAAACAAGTCAACAGCTTGCTAAAGGAAAACCAAAAAAATACTGAAGAAAATAACACCTTAAAAAACAGCCTAACCCAAATGGCAAAAGAGGTCCAAAAAGCCAATGAGGAGAAAAATGCCCTAAAAAGAAAAATTGACCAAATGGAAAAGGAAGTCCAAAAGATTACTGAAGAAAACATTTCCTTAAAAATTAGAATGGACCAATTGGAAGACAGTGACTTTATGAGAAATCAAGACACTGTAAAACAAATCCAAAAGAATGAAAAATTAGAAAACAATGTGAAATATCTCATTGGAAAAACAACTGACCTGGAAAATAGATCCAGGAGAGAGAATTTAAAAATTATTGGACCATCTGAAAGCCATGATCAAAAAAAGAGCCTAGATGTCATCTTTCAAGAAATTATCAAGGAAAACTGCCCTGGTATTTTAGAACCAGAGGGCAAAATAGAAATTGAAAGAATCTACCGATCTCCTCCTGAAAGAGATCCCCAAAGGAAAACTCCTAGGAATACAATAGCCAAATTCCAGAGTTCCCAGGTCAAGGAGAAAATATTACAAGATGCCAGAAGGAAACAATTCAAGTACTGTGAAAACACAATCAGGATAACACAAGATTTAGCAGCTTCTACATTAAAGGACTGCAGGGCATGGAATATAATATTCCGGAGGGCAAAGGAGATAGGATTACAACCAAGATTCACCTACCCAGCAAAACTGAGTATAATCCTTCAGGGGAAAAAATGGTCATTCAGTAAATAGAGGACTTTCAAGCATTCCTGATGAAAAGAAAAAAGAGCTAAACAGAAAATCTGACTTTCAAATACAGGACTCCAGTGGAACATGAAGAGGTAAACAGGAAAGAGAAATCATAAGAGACTTATTAAGATTGACCTGTTTACATTCCTGCATGGAAAGATGATATTTGTAACTCATGAGAACTTTGTCAGTATTAGGGTAGTTGAAGGAAAAAAATTGTATGTATCTATATATAAATAGCTAGATAGAGGACACAGGGTGAGTTGAAGATTAAGGGGTCATATCTGGAGAATAAAATTAAAAGGATGAGAGAGGATGATACTCGGAGAAGAAAGGGAGAGGTAGAATGGGGTAAATTATCTCACAAAAAAAAAAACAGAAAAAGAAAAGTCTCTCACAGTGGAGGGGAAACGGGGGAAGGTGAGAAGGAATGAGGGAATCTTATTCTCATAGGATTTGGCTTAAGGAGAGAATAACATACACATTCAATTGGGTATGGAAATCTGTCTTACCCTACAGGAAAATAGGGGGAGAAGGGGACAAGAGAGGGGGGTGATAGAGAGGAGGGCAGATAGGGAAAGAGGGTAATCAGAAGCAAATACTTCTGAGGAGGGATAGGGTCAAAAGAAAGAATAGAATAAATGGGAGGGCAGGACAGGATTAAGGGAAATAGAGTTAGTTTTTCACAACATGACTACTATGGAAGTGTTTTGCATAACTACACATGTATAACCTATATTGAGTTGCTTGCCTTTTCAATGAGGGTGGGTGGGGAGGGAGGAACGGAGAAAATTTGGAACTCAAAGTTTTAAAAACACATGTTTTTAAAAAAATGTTTTCACATGCAACTGGGAAATAAGAAATACAGGAAATGGGGTACAGAAGTCTATCCTGCTCTACAGGAAAACAGAAGGGGAAGGGGATAAAAGAAGGGAGAGGGGAGAGATAGAAGAGAAGGCAGACCAGGAGAAGGGGTATTCAGAATGCATGCCATCTTGGGGTGGGGGGAGGGGTGAGAAATTTGGAACTCAAAAACTTGTGGAAGTGAATATTGAAAACTAAAAGTAAATAAATTCATATTTTAAAAAAATAGTACATAAATGAATATTAAACAGTAATGCCTAATGAAATGTTAATAAAATCTAGAATAAGAATCACTTCATGTGATAATGTAATGTGGGATTGATACTTACCTAAAAAAAAGGTGAACTCAACACAAAGCATGAAATGATCCCAACTGCTAACTTACCGACTAATACCAGGATTTAGTTCGTTGACCACTACTCTCTGGCTCCACAACATGAAATCCCTCTGAGCGGCCACCTGACTTCGAGAAGAACTATGTATTTGTCGGACACTTTCCATCTGACCACTGGGTTGAAATCCAACATTTGAAGAAGAGGCAAACTCCATATTTGGGCTTCTCACAGCTGAAAAACAGGTAAAGATGACACTCTTCCTAAAAAGTTCCCAACTTTTAAAAGAGAGCTAAAGACTAAATGTAGGCTTCTAAGATGGTGTTGAAGAGGATATGGATATCTGTCCATGCGTAAGAATGGAGAAAAGAAAAGAGACTAATGCATAAGCAGCAGTATGAAGATGAATAAAAAGTGCCAACAAGAAATTAGATTCCCTACATCTTCTTAGATAATGGGCATATACCCTATCATAGCCTAGGCAAGTGGAAAGCTCTGCTCCTAAAAAAGCTGGATTGACTGAAGTTACATATTATTTAGGGCACTGACCCTTGAGTCTTTTCACTGAATAAACAGCTCTCGGAAGCTCTAACACAAGGGAGGTAGTATGGTACCATGGAGAAGTATGGTGGATTTTGAGTTAGACAAGCTAGATACAAACTCCAGCTCTGCTACTTACTACCTGTGTGACCTTGGGCAAGTCAGTTGTTGACGAGACCCACTGTGGGTCTCAGTTTCTCTACTGTAAAATAAAGGGGCCAGACTAGATTACTTTAAAAGTCTCTATCCTCTCGAAATCTATGATTCTAAGTTTCAATGGGTCATCAGGCACTCCTCTAACGACTTCTAGTTAGACAAAAAAAACTATTTGATGGCAGAGATCATTGGCCTTGGATAGGTTTTACTAACATTCAACAACACAATAAAGAATATGTTTCCTAAATAAGAATATCAAAATATTAATGGGGTACTAAATCAAGAATCTAATCCAAATTTTATAAGTTGGAAATTAAGGGACTTATACATAATGTTAGCACCTACTACTCAGCTTGATGCAGATTCAGAAAATATATTTGGGTTTACAGTTCCAAATGTCCTAGAGTCAGGAGGACCTGAGTTCAAATCCAGCCTCAGACACTTGACACTTACTAGCTGTGGGACCCTGGGCAAGTCACTTAACCCCAACTGCCTGGCCAAAAAAAAAAAAAAAGCTATATGCATACTTCCCCTGCCCAAATAAAGATATGGGCCTAATACAATATGAAGCACCTCAACCTAAATGACATTTGTTATCTGGCCACAAGAAACCTAAATTAACCTAAATGAGATGTCCACATTATGTCAGTACAGTGAAAAACTAATCCTTCCAACATTTCCAGTGAGAAGAAGCATAACTTTTCAAAAATTATACTTTGCTGACATTTATTCCTGACATTGAACATATGGAAGTACTGATATGAACACAACACTTATGCTGTAAATACTTTTCATGTTTTTTAGGGAAAAGATATAACACATAATAACTACATTGGAGCAATTTTGTCACTTTCAACCATTACAAAGGAGTGAATAAAAATTAATTCAGCAGTTGACTCTACATATCCTAGAAAGTCTATTATATGCTTTTCAATGTTCAACTTTTGTAAACGTGGTTTTAAATATGAAAGTCAAAAAAAGGCACCTTAAAACAGGAGGGAAGACACACATGAAATGTAGGTTTTTAAGGTCCTGCAGATTAAGGTTGAGGACAATTTTTCAAACAGTAAACACTGTAACAGAATCCTGCTGATGGCGCCTTAAAAGGCCAAAATTCCCTTCTTTCAGTCAGTAAACATTTATTGAGTGACTCTTATGTGCCAGGCACTCTGCTAAATGGTGGGGATACAAACAGAAAAAATAAAGGCAGTCCCTGGCCTTGAGGAGCTTACAATCCAATAGGAGATCTAAAGGTATGCTAATTTTTCTTGTCCACACGTTCAAAAAGGCTAAAACTATGGTGCTACCATGTAATTTCAAAATAGCTTCAAACACAGTAAAAATTTAGAGATTAAAAATTTACAAATGCCCTCCATCTCAATTCACCCTATACAGGCAAATGAAATGGCAAAAAGTATAAAAATTCAACATGATAACTATAGATACATACCTCCACTAAAAGAATATGGTCTATTAATATGAATAAATGAACTTCCTTCTTCAGTAACCAGTCTTAGATCCTGCTCCCTCTGCAGTTCCCTGATCATTCCATCTTGATCCATGGCTTGTTGACCAATCACCTGTTCTATCACTTCACCATCACCTTAAATAGACCAAAAATAAATAAATAGATAAGTAAATCCCACAACTGACATCAGCAAAGGAAGCATTCAACAAGCATTTTTTAAGCCACTAAAATGATGTAGGCACAGTGTTAGATATAAAGGGCACAAGGACAAAAATGTCAAACACTCTGCTCTCAAGGAGCTACACTCTAGATATCACCTTAAAGAAAACATTAATACAATTTTAGAAAAAACCTCAGTTCAAGCTATCATGTGTAAAGTCCTCTTTAGGTGAATAATCAAAACTGTGAATTACTTAATGAAAACTAGCAACATAGTACACACAAAATGTAATAAGGCAAATCCATATTTGCAGTGATTTTAAAAAATCTACCACTGAAAAATGCGACAAATTAGAAAACTTCTAAAACAAGCAAACATGATATATTATCTTCATTTCTCTCATCCCAAAGAATGTTCCACTGATTGAGTAAAGAGGAACATACCTGAAAATTTATTTTTACAAGCAAATAACAGAGTGAAGGGAAAATGAAGACTCTACTTAAGAAAACTCTGATCATTTGGAATTAAGATTATTTTGTATTTATTTTATGACTACTTTTGGAAGACATGATTAGGTTCTTTCGAGTATTTCCTTTTCATACTGAACACTAGAAAACAACAATAAACAGTAAAGAAATTGTACTTTTAGGAAATACCACTTATTCAAAGGACAAATAGCCATTTCTGGATTGCAAATTAGGAATTCCTTTTCTCTACTTACAACTTTCAGATCCAGAAAACTGAAATTTCCAACCAGGTAGGGCAGTGGATAGAGCACTGAACCTGGAGTCAGCATGACCCAAGTTCATATGTGGCCTCAGACACTAACTCTGTGACTCTAGGAAAAGTTACTTAACCACGGCCTGCCTCAGTTTCCTTATCTATAAAATGGGGATAATAGCACCTACCTCCCAGAGTTGTTGTGAAGATCAAATGAGACAATCTTTGCAAACTTTAAAGTGCTATATAAATGCTAGCTATTTTTTATTATTAAGTAATGAAGTCTGACTAATGGAAAGATAAAACCCATAAAATGATACAAGAGCTTTGCTGATCAGAGCCAATATTTTGAACCATATTTGGAAGTAAATGCTGCAGGGGACAACAGAAGTCTATGGTCGAGGTTCTTAAGTAAGAAAGCCATTATGTTTGCCCTACCTCAGGAAAGTCTGTTTGTGCTGATGCCCCCACTCCCACATACCAGGTTCCTCTGCCAAGGTAAAGCATGCCAATAACGTATCACGGTGAGATCACTAACAACTCAACACCATTAACACTGGCAGAAATTCCTTATTTTTGAACATGTTAGTAAGATAATGGATTTCAAATACAATCTAGGAGCTAACATACCATCAGCAATGTAGCCCAGTTGTGGTATAAGGTGTTGGTCCTTACAATGTTCCCGTCCTGGCACCAGCCGTTGGAATTCTGTAGGATGAGGGTTGCCATCCACATCCACCAAAAATGGGGGTGCCATCAAATGAGGAGCTTGCTGAGTCTGCTCATCCAGTACATAGTTGTTAGCATCTCGAATGAGCGGTCGATAATCCGTGTGGAAAAACATCTGATCTGGAATCTTGAGATTATTGAGTAATTAACACATCAACACATTATGTATCAGCACTTCAGCTCATTCCAGGAACTCTTTTCCATTTTCAGCACCTGTAAACTCCTGGCCCAGCGGTGGGGAACCTGTGGCCCTCCAGGTCCTCAAGTACAGCTCTTTGACTGAATCCAAACTTCACAGAATCAATCTCCTTCATAAAAGGATTTGTTCTGTAAAACTTGGACTCAGCCAAAAGCCCTCACCAGAGGACCTAAAGAGCCACATGTGGCCTCAAGGCCGCAGGGTCCCCACCTCTGCCCTGGCCAATCAATCAAGTATTTATTAAGTGCCTATTCTGTACTAAGCACTGATATAAAGCCAAAAATCAAACAATTCTTGCCTTCAAGGAGCCAACATCCTCTTGTGAGAGGCAAGAAGCAAATAAACAAAAAAGAAACAGGAGAGGGGGAAAGGGGAACTCAAGGGGGTTGGGGGGTAAGGGGGCTAGGAGAGACTTCATGGAAAACATGCCACCTGAGCAGGGCTTTCAAATAAACGCGACATTCTAAGAGGCAGAAGTGAAGTGCAAGTATGTTCCAGGCCTACGAGACACTGGGCACAAATATGGCTTGTTATGGATGAGAAACAGCAAGACCACTATTTTGGCTACATCAGGAAGTACAGAAAGGAGAGCAATGAATGTCTAATAAGGTTAGAAAGGTAGTTTGTTGAAACCAGAGTGAAGGGCCTTAAGAGAAACAAAGGAACTCGTATTTGATTCTAGAAGAAGAAGAGAGCCACATGGGAGTTTACAGAGTAGGAAGTCACACCTGCACTTTAGGAAAATCACTTTAACAAATATATGGAGGAGGCTGGATATATGAAGCCAGGAAACCAACTGGAAGACTACTGTTAAGAACGCAGGCAGAGGATTACCTGGATTAATTAAGGTGCTGGCTATGTAAGCTGATAGAAGTGGACAGCTCTGAGAAATGACAAGAGTTGGCAATTGTCGGGTTGTGCAAGGCAAGGGAAGAATCAAGGTGAACAGCAATGCTAGGAAACAGGGCTCATGGAAAGGCTAGGACAGAGCACGGACGGGAGGAGGAGGAGATCGAGAACATTTCCCAGAGGTCTGGGGATCATGCCCAAGCCCTTATTTTCACCACTTGTTTCCCAAATCTTTTGAGGGATAAAATAAAACCACAGCAAGTAATAAGATTATTCTATGATTTTACATTTTTACTTTTTTCTATATTCAAACACTTCATAACAAATTAATTCTATCAATGATGCTGTAATAGAGTGATAAGTCTCACTAAAATAAAGTATGTTAATGTTAATTTTTAAAACAAAAAAAATATTGATTTTTAAAGCAAGGTATACCTCAACATACCTTCCTGATTCTGAGTGTAACTATCTCTGAGTACTTATTTTCCACAAACCTAGGGCATAGATTTATCTAAAACTCTTTACATGTGCAAAGAGGAACATATAATTAACATGTTTATTATGTGAACTCTGTAGTAACAGATCCAATTTCTGGGGACACAAATCAAAGAGCAATCCAGAAAGAGAGGGATTTACAAGATTACCAGGGACAGAGGGAGATGCTGGGATGGTTTGTTCTTTTCAAACATTTGTAGGGTTGTAACACTGAGTGAATAATGGTCCTTCACTCACAAGATCACAGGACTTTTGAGATCAAGCACAACTTTGTCCCCTCATGTCACAGATGAAGAAAGGGAGATGAGAGGTTGTGACCTTCCCCTCAAACAACCACAGACAAACTTCTACAAAAAGCTGTCAATTCAATGCCTGCAGCTCCTGAATTTCTACAACCCCTTTCAACCTTGCTTCTGGCCTAATATTTAAAGCCCCCTTCCAACAACTTCTTAATTCACAAATTCTGTCAAGGGCATCACTGTGTTTCCAATCACCTCAGTACATAATCTCAGAATTATCCGAAGCCTTCCTTGAGAACAAGGGTGGGGGAACCTTTAGCTTCATTGTTCTGTGAAGTTTGGATTCAGTCAAAGGGCCACACTTGGGGACCTAGAGGGCCACATGTGGCCTAGAGGCCACAGGTTCCCCAGCCCAGCCTTAGATTCACTCCTTGTATCCAAACAGTTGCCAGATCTTTGCGAACTTGTCAAACTCAAAAAAATCTCTCCGATCTGTCCCCTTCTTTCTACTCGGGCAACCACCACTTGCTTTTCAATCAGTGTCTCTGTCTCTAGTCTTTCCCTTTGAGAAACTGTCATCCATAAAGTTGTCAAATGGATATTCCTAATGCTCTGTGGCTCCCTAGTGCCAGAGGGATAAAACAGAAACTAATTCCTTGGGCATTTAAAGCCCTTCAAAAATGGACTCCCCTAGCTTTGACTTCCAGAGTAATTTTACATAAGCAATCTTTCAATAACTACTCTCTGTGCCTTTGCACATGCTATTATTCCTCATGTTTAGAATGTTCTTCCTCCTCACCTCCCCATCTTGGAATCCCTGGCTCCCTAGTTCAACTCTACTGACATTCCTATACAAAGCCTTACCAGGTCCCCCTTACTCATTAGCACCCAACCCCACAACCTCAATTACTTTGTGATTAATCAAAACTATGGAATAGATAACAAAAATTAGAAAAAGAGAACATAATATGTAATATTATATATGTAATACTGTATGTAGTGTAATAATGCAGACCCATATTTGCAGTGTTTTTCAAAATATATGATTGGAAAAAAAAGGAACAAAATGAAAAGCCTAAAAGAACAAATGTGATCAACTCATATTGGAAAGAATGTTCCACTGATTATTAAGAGGAACACATTTTCAAATTCACACATTTCAAATTCAAGTAACAAAGTGAGGGGAAAATGAAGACTACTTAAGAAAACTCTCATCATTTAAAATTACTAAGGTTAGTTTGTTATCTTCTTTTAAAGCTACTTTGGAAAGACAGGGTGAGGTCACTTCAAATATTTCCTTTTCAGACAAAACACTAGAATATAACTGTTAGCAGTAAGAAGATTCTAAAAGCAGCTAAGTGGGACAGTGCACAGTGCACTGGGCCTGGAGTCAGGTCAAATCCAGCCTCAGATACTAGCTGTGGAACCCTGGGCAACTCACTGAACCTTTGTTTGCCTCAGTTTCCTCCTCTGTAAAATGAAGATCACAATAGCACCTACCTCCCAGGGGTTTGCTGTGAGCAACAAACAAGACAGTATGGGTAAAGCATTTAGCACACAGTAGACACTATATAAATGCTTGTTTCCTTTGTACACACTTTTGCATCTACTTATGCAGATATACCTTTTTTACCCCAGTAGAATTTAAGCTCCCTGAGGGCCAGTACTGTTTTCACTTTTGTCCCTGTATTCCCAGTGTCTTACTTCCTATCTAGTGTTTTTCTACTGTTCCTTCATGAACTACACCAGGGGTGTCAAACACTAGCATCTGGGTGCAGCAGAACCAGATGAGAATGTGAAATATTTATGAATGAGATGGGAAATATTTAATGAAATAAATGAAAATCGGATACAACAAAGATAATGTTAATATTGTGCCATTGAGTGGCCTCCCGTTGCTATGGGAGTTTGACACCACCAATCTAGACAATGGCCGCTTCCTTCTTGTAGATCCACAATTCAGATAGAGGGATACAAATTAGAGAGCGGCAGAATTAAGCTTCATATAAAGAAGAACTTTCCACCAATGGAACTATATAGCCTCAAAGTATTAAATTCCCAGATACTCAAAAGTGTTCAAAGAAAACCTCGATAACCAACTATTGGGGAATATTAATTATAAAAGGGTTTACTGCATAGGGCAGGAGGTTAGACTATACGACCTCCCTTCTCTGGGGAAATTGGGTTACTCAGTGTTGAAGTCACTTGTTCAAGTGGCAGAGCTAGGATTCAAACCCAAGTAGATTCAATAGCAGGTTCACTAACAGGTAAAAGAAATAATAATGAATATCTTCAAAGTCACCAGCTGATTTTCTCAAAAGAGAAAATTCAATCAAAAGAGCACTATTATTGTGTACAGGGATGAGGACACATCAGATTGTTACCTCAGCGAGAATTCTTAAATACACTTTTATGAATACATTGTCCCTACAGTTTAGTATTAATTTCCATGGGGCAATTTTTTCATTCTGCATATTATAAGCAACTCACAATTACCATCTGGAATCCAAAAAGGCTCACCTGAAAAAAAAAAAAGTATAAAGTAAACGCAAAAATATTCCCAGGACCAAAATGAGAAGAAAAAATCCCAACCTTTTCGTAGTCTCTATTGCATCCAAAACCAAACAGCAGCAAATGTCCGTGAGAATCTGTACAGGCAAAATGTTGCCCATCTGGTGAGAACTTGCAATCAAACACACCACCATGGCCTTGGCCCTCAATCTGAAACAAAGGAAAAGTAATCTGAAATGAATTTTAAAATGATGATAACAGCAGCTAATATTTATATGGCAAGTACTGTGTGCCAGGCAGTGGTGCTAAATGCATTAGAAGTATTATCTCATTTGATTATCACAACCACCCAGGAGGTAGGCACTATTATGATCCCTATTTTACAGATGAGGAAACTGAGAAAACAAAGATTAAGTGACTTGCCCAGGGTCACAAAGCAACTAAGTGCCTGAGGCTGTATTTGAACTCAGGTCTTCCTGACTCCAGGCCCCCACAGTTTTGAATCCTCCTTTGTTAATATGTCTTAGATTCATCAGCAATCTAATATGCTCTACAGCTACCAATTTGGGTATTGTTCTAAGTAAAGTAAGTGGTGAATCACAGAACCATAATGCAATTTTAGAGTTGAAAAGTACCTTAAACATCATTAAGTACAAAGGCTTCATTTTAAAGATGAGCTTAACCACTCAAGTGGCCCCACTTGATATAGGCAGCAAACAACAGAGCCCAGATTCAAAGCCAGGTATTCTAAATCTAAATCCAGTGTCTTTGCTATAAAAATCCCTGAAACTCAGGGTTGTTACTTGCCTGGAGTCACACACTGTTAGCAAGTGTCACAGCTGGATTTCAAACCCAGGTTTCTTGACTCTAGAAGCAGCCAACAATCTTTCAAGTCACAAAGCATTTTATTAAACTGAAATGTTTTAAAAGTTTCCCACATTTTATTCAAAATACAAACCTCCTATGAATTGATTATTATCAGTAGACCTACTGTCTGGTGTCAGAAGAAGAATTCCATCTGGGGTTTTTGAAAAGTTCCACTTTAGGCTTAGATGAATAGATGGTTATGAAGAGAAGCTCTGAAAACCCTACTGATTTCATGTTGCACAAAGATGTGACAAGTGAACAAGGAATGATCACTTTAAAACGAGTTTGCAGTGCAATGTCCAAAGTTTTTTTCCAAGTGCAACTGACTGGCACAAAGAAAGAATAATCATTCTCAATTTCCTCTCGGATTTATTTCAAGTTTCCCTTTGAAAAGGAAATAATGCTAATCATCCCATGTATTACATAGCTTGTTAATAACATCTTGGTTCACTTGGAGGGAAAGTTTTTTTTTTCCCTTAAGTAAATCACAAAATACCAAACTGAATTTCTCAGTCAACATTTATTGAGTATCTACTAAGTATCATATCTTTCATTTATACTCCAATACTACAATGACTTGAAAAATCCCTCCAAGGACTGAGATCAAAAACCATCCCGTAGTGGCCCCATCCTGTGCAACTCTTGTTCACACCCTCGAATAAACTCACTAGAGGGGCATAGGAATGTTTCTTCCTCTTCTCATGAAGGTGCTGGGATCCCAAATGGTACGTGGGCTACCAGCTGGTTATTATTTTTGTTATTACCCTTCTTTTTTCTGGTCAAACATTCATACGTTTTCAGGGAAAGACAGAAATATTTGACTTAGTACTTCAAAAAAAATTTTAAAGAATATATCTAAGAAAGATAATTAAACATATGAATAAAATGCTTATTTCCCCAGAGGCAGTTTAAAAAAATTAGCTTCACAATCATATAAAAAAGCAACTAATTGCTCTTAGATTTTTTTATTTTTTATTTATTTAAAAATGTCCATAAGTTATCTGGAAATGAGTATACCTTATTATTACCAAGTCATCTTCCATAACCTTTTTATTATACTCATTATAACAGAAATCAGTACTTATGTCATTTAAAACCCAAATTTTATCTTAAGCAATACAGGTTTCTCTCACCATGTTAAAGTAATTTCGAATTTTGGTTCCTCGGTCAAGGTCCCAAATGAAAATGTTCCCATCATGACCCGCAGAAAGCATAATCCTTTGGTCAAATGGATGTGCTTCCAAAACAAACACTTCGTCATCGTGTCCCTGTGGTACAAACAGAGTTTAAGGAGAAACATCACCATTCGCTTTTTGTCTTCCACCAAAAGCCCTGGAAGGGATTCATCTCAGCATACACAGTGAAACTGGCAACTGCAAGTGAGTAATGCACACACACTCATTTTACATTTATGCACAAGTAAAAGGTACGGGGACCTTTTACGTGCCAAAAATTTCTGAGGAGTATCTTTAGAACCAAGAATATCAAATGGAAGTCAAGAAATCAAACAATTCAAATAGCCACAGCTCATGAAGAGAAGTCTTTGAACAGTGGAGCTGATATTGCCCAGCCCTGCTGTTCACAGGGCCACAGAAAACTGAACAACAAGTCTTTTAGTGACCACGGCCACACAGACAAAACCTGAGTTTCTTTCATCTACACTTCACAAAAACAGCTGCATGTTTTCACCAAGAACTCAGTTGAATATCACTACAACATATCCACTAGATACTACAATTTATTTTACTATTCCCTTTCTGGCCCAAGGGAACACTGTCACCAGTTGCCCCGAAGGAAAAGGCCAGGGCATCCCAAGTACCTTCTTTAGGGAAGATTGCTACATAATCCCTGCTATAACCATGAGTTTATACATCTGCAGCAGTCCAATAACGCTATTTTAGCCAACTATGTCCTGCAATAACAGGAACGGAGCACTTTCCCATAACACTTTCAGGTCCACACAGCTCTTCCTTAAGATAACCCTGTAGTGCAGTTATTACATGCAGATGTAATGTACTACATGTACATTACATGTAGTCCTATTTTACAAAAAAAGGCTACTCAAGCGTATGTAGGGAAAAGAGAGCTAGAGCCCAGGTCCACTAAGTTTCAGAGAGGGGATTGAATTCAGGTCTCTCTTGATTCCAAGTACAATGCTCCTTCGAGTACACCATGCTAAATGATTTAATACCACTGTCAATACCAAAAGAATAGTCCATTATATAAGAATGCTGTATGAACAGGTCTGGAAATACTGACTGTAAACATGGCAGTCAAAATCTCTTTTGAATGAGGATCACAATGATGGATTCCAAATAACAAAACTAGACTTAAGTCTCCACAGGTGTCCATGTTCCTCAGTAAAAAATTCTTTGTTGTTCTAGTTAAAACAAATCCTGTTTCAACAATGAGAATCAACAGAATTGGCTTCTCTAGAATGTGATCAAATTAGGACAATTACTAATGTGCTGCTTCACACATAACCACTGGTAGTAGAATAAAGGGGGAAAGGTCAGTTGTACCTTACCATAAAAGCACTTACCTTTCACCTCTACCTGCTTCAGCCAGTTCACCCAAATCTAAGTCAGAAACAATCCTGAATTTTCAAAACCACTTTATTACAGCTCCCCTGCCCCACCCTCCAAAAAAAGATCATGGACCTTAGTGGTAAAGAGATGTACAAAGCCACCTCATTTCACTTAAGTTGATACAGAAAAAGCATCTTGGCTTTGTTATATCTAGGTCTTCAAATGGGCAATTATTAGAAATGCAATATAGTAATAAAATAAATTAACAAAAGAATTTGAATATATCAGCAAGTATATTAAAATATAATTCTGCCTATATGACACACCATAGCTACAGTCAACATCTGTGAAAAAAGTTATCAAGCTGAAATAGCCAAAAGATGTGAACAGGCAGTTTTCAAAGGAAGAAATCCAAGCTATTAACAACCATATGAAAAATTATTTTAAATCACAATTAACTAGAGAAATGCATACTAAAGCAACTCATTAGTTCTACCGGACACTCATCACAAATTGGCAAAGATGAAAAAAGGGGAAAATAACAAACAGCGGAGAGGCTATGTGCAAACAGGCACACTAATGCACCACTGGTGGAGTTGCAATAGTCCAGCTATTCTGGAAAGCAATTTGGAATTATGCTCACCAAGTGCTTCAACTGTCCATAAACTCTGACCACACCATTACCAGACTCATACCTCAAAGAGAGCAGAGAAAAAAAGGAAAAGGATCCATGTGTACAAAAATATTTATGACACTTCTTTTTGTAATAATAAAAAACTGAAAGCTAGGAGGAGGCACAACCATTGTAGGACGGCTAACCAAATTATAGTACATAAATTCAATGGAATATAAACCTCAAGAAAAGATGAAACTGACAGTTTCAGAGGAAACTGGGAAGATCTCTCTGAACAGATGCAGAGTAAAGTCAGCAGAACTAGTATAACTTAAAAAATAATTCCACTGTAAGGGAAAACTACTTTTTGAGATTGCAAAATTCTGATAAATACAATCATAAACCATGGTGCCAGAGGACTAAAAACTGAAGGATTAAAATATGCCATCCACCATCTCCCAGAAAGTTGATGAACTTAAAATGTAGAAAGACACATTCATTTTTGGATATGGACAAATTCAGGGATTTGTTTTGCTGAACTATGCATATTTGTTATGAGACTTTTATTAATTTTTAAAGCTGTTCAAAGAGGGAGGAGCAAGGGAGTGACAGATGATAAATGTGTAAAGTATAAATAAAATACAGTACACCAGGGAAAAAAGAAAAAATATATTCATCTAGAGGTAAAAAATAGGAAAGGGCAATCTTTCATAGCAGACGAAAGGGACTTCAAAATATTTTAAGTTGCAAGACCAAATTGTAATTTAATGGAAAACCTATTGTGTAAGTTTGGGAGTATTAGTTTCTCTATTTTTTTCACTTTAAAAATGAAGCAATTACTTGTATTTGCAAACAAGTTTCTTGGTAATGGGTTATTTATACACAAGAAGATTTCTGCAGGTGCTTTGGAATAAAGGGTACAAGATTTCTTAGTCAGGAGAAGACAAATGCTGCTACTCATCAATACTTTGCTTTTAATATGACAGAATTTCTTAGACTTCTAATATCACCATCGTATTGCCATGGCCAAGCTCCTCTACTCATCTCCTTTCTCCTATCTCAGCCACCTGAACCTTGGCATACTAACATCTGAAAGAAGAAGAATGATATTAAATAAAAGCTAAGTATTTTATTTAAAGATATTACATACATAATGAAAAAGAAAAAATAACTCTTGTAACAAATACATAGAGTCGGGGGCAGCCAGGTGGTACAGTGGATAGAGTACCAGCCCCGGAGTCAGGAAGACCTGAGTTCAAATGTGACCTCAGACACATAATACTGGACAAGTCACTTAACCCCAACTGCTCCACGGGGGGAAAAAAAAAACCACAGAGTCAAACAAAACAAAATCCCACAGTGACCACATGCCCCAATCTGCACCTTTAAGTTCAAAGAAATTACAACTGCTCTTCAGCAGAATCCACAGAAACCAAATGAGGAAAAGACATGCTACTAGGTTCATCTTTGAGATGTTTAGTAAAAGAGCTTCACTAAACAAAATATTCAAAGGCAGGTAGGAAATATACAACGTATCCCAGAATTGAACCCTTCCTTAGAATCCTAAAAAGCTAAGGCCATTTAATGCAGGAACCAAGAAGGTGGTGGTACAGGATGGAGCAACAGGTTCCATTCTGGACTTGGCCATCAACTAGCCTTTGGCTCTGCGCAACTTACTTTCCAGGTCTGTAAAAGGAAAGCGTTGAGAACAGACCATCCCTATGATGCCTTTCAACTATAAAACTCTTTGATTCAAAGTGAAAGTTATTGGGAATAAGCAATTAAGAAGCAAAGCTCAAAATCTTTCACCTCAAGAGTATGAGTGGATGTCAAGCGGCCTCACATGAACTTGACAGTCACCAAACCTGTGCAAAAGAGTCCTGTTGTCAAGCCTACTCTCAATCACGCAGAATATCTTGAGTAGTTTCAAACATTTTAAAGATTCTGACTTAGCACTTAAAGCAATATCTCAATTGGTATATTAGCCCAGGGGCTAATTTATGTCCTAAATTAGAAGAAGAGAAGAAAAGAGCTCTCTTATTCCTGGATATCAAAGTCCTAGCAGGCACTACTTAACTACTGGTAGAAAATGGGTGAAGGGAGGGCATCACAGTCAAACTGTGACGCACATCAACGTCTTCTATCCTTTTACTGGTTTTCAGAGATTCATAAAGAGGCGCAAACCTGAGAGAACGTGTGATCCACTTTTAGGCATTACCTCCCTTTGGTTGGGTCAGAGAGGCAAAGCACTTTGCTTAAGATATCGGAAACCAGCAGCAAAGGTAGTTCTGACACTTTGCAAAAACGAAACAAGGCAAGGACAAGAAGCCATACATACTTCCCACTCATGGCAATGCTCTTTCTATACATGCCACCAACATCTGAATCAAGTGAATATTCAACCACTCCAAAAGGATAATACTCACAGTTAGGTTATGAAGAAGCTGCCCTGTGCTGGAATTCCATACTTTTAGGAGGAAATTGTTCACTGCTGTAATAACGGTGGCATCATATCGGTCCCAAGCCACCATAGTCACCTTTAGCTTAGTCACTTTGTCTTCACTTCCTAAGTTGTTCCTGAACAAAATAATTAAGAAAGGTGATAATGATGGTAAAAAATGTGCACAATTAAGCCCATGTTGGTAGAGCTATGAATCTGTTCCAACTGCTCAGGAAACCAATTTAGAATGATATAAGTTAATAAATGGTTAATACCCTTTTCAAATTCAGAGAATTCAAATAAGACCATTAAAAAAAATGTTCATAGCAGGCACAATCTCTGGTAACAAAATACGTACATAAGAATGGATAAGTAGCTGGCCAAGCTGTGGTATATGAATGCAACGGGATGACAAATATGAAGAATTCAGAACAACATGGGAAGAATTTAATGAAATGATAGGGTGAAGAAAACAGATAAAAAATTATTACAGCAATGTAAAAAAAGTCAACACTGAAAATAAACACTAGTCAAATACAAAGGTCGATGTTAATACTATACTATCAAAGTTAAAGACCTCTTTCTCTCTGTTAATAAACTAAGTTTTAGAGGAAGGTACTTTGTGTGTGTGTGTGTGCGCACACATGCGCACGGGGAGGGGTGATGTTTGTTTCCTGGGAAATGTCTTATGTCAAAATAAAATGTTATCAAGAAATCTGAAAGTAAAATAATAAAATATTCATAACACTGCAAACTTACCAAAAGAAAATCTAAATTCACAAACCATGACAGAATTTAGGAAGCTATATATTTTTTGAAAACCCATCAGGGTTAGAGAATATCTAATTACAGAAAATGGGAAAGACTATGCCCCTAACTTAAAAAGGCAATTTAATAACCATAGTCATTATTTCCTTTTTCAAATGCCTCGAAAAGCACAAAACAAAGCTATGTTGGCTACTAGCATGTATGAATAAGAAATTCTGTCCCATCCCATCTCATTTCCTTCTATAAAACGTGAGGCATTACAATAGAAATAGTACTTTTCAAATTTAGTAAGATTTCTGACTTTATCTAATACACAACAGCTTTGTGATTATAGCACAATTTGGTTAGCAGGTATGGAATTGGCTTTGAGGTCACATCCAAAATGCCAATCAAGGGGGAATTATAGTCCCAAAGAGGCTATTATTAAATATCACTATTGGTGACTCAGGTGATGAAATAGAGAGCAGACTCATTAAATGAGAAGGTGGTAAGTCAAGTGAGGCTACTAACATCATGGAGCAGATGAACAATGACCTTGTCAAATAGTTAAATGTACAATGACATCCAATAGTGACAACTATAAGGTAGCTAGCAAACAAAAATAAATCACAGAGAAACAAGATGGATAATGAATGTGCAGGCCCCAATAAAGCAATGAAAAGTCTTCTCCCTAAAAGGGACAATAACCAAGAAAGAACACAGGTGTCACAATGGAATATAACTTGAATATAAAATAGCCATGGTCCACTATTTAAGTATGTTTGATGGACAAGAGCAAAACAGGAATTACTGGATGACTGAACGTTGACTCAACCAAAAAGGCTGTGTGCCACCTACGATAAATTTAAATGAATCCCAACCTCACTCCAACTTAACTTCCACAAAAATTTAAAAAAGGTGAAGTATTTCCTGATGTTACTTATTTGACTCATTTTCCTAAACTTTTTTTAACATCCACTTTTTAAAATTTTGAGTTCCACATTCTCTCCCTCCCATTGATGGTAAACAATTTGATATAGGTTATACGTGTGAATCACGTAAAACATATTTCCATATTAGTCATGTTGTGAAAGAAGACAGAGGAAAAAAAACCCAACAAAAAAATAAAGTGAAAAATAGTATGCTTCAATCTGTATTCAGACTCCATAGTCCTTTCTCTGGATATGGACAGCATCTTTTATCAGGAGTACTTTGGAATTCTCTTAGATCACTATATTGCAGAGAATAGCTAAGTCATTCACAGTTGGTCATCGCACAGTGTTGCTGTTACTGTGTACAATGTTCTCCTGGTTTTGCTCACTTCACTTTGTACCAGTTCGTGTAAGTCTTTCCAGGTTTTTCTGAAAGCATCCTGCTCATTTGTTACAGCATAATAATATTCCATGACCCTATACCATAACTTGTTCAGCCATTCCCCAACTGATAGGTATCACCTCAATTTCTAATTCTGAGCCACCACAAAATAAGCTGCTAGAAATATTTTTATACAAATAGGTCCTTTTTCCCTTTTTTAAAAATCTCTTTAGGACAGCAGTGGTATTTCTGGGTCAAAGGATATACACAGTTTTATTTCCCTTTGGGCACAGCTCCAAATTGCTCTCCAGAATGTTTGGATCAGTTCACTACTCCACCAACAGTACATTAGTGTCTGAATTTTCCCACATCCCCTACAATATGTCATTTTGCTTTTCTGTCATATTAGCCAATCTGACAGGTATGAGGTGGTGTCTCAGAGTTATTTGCACTTCTCTATAATGATTTAGAGCATTTTTTATGTGACTACAGATAGCTTTGATTTCTTTGTCTGAAAACTGTCTATTCATATTAATGCTCTCTATCTCTTGTTTGGTCATAAATTCTTCCCTTATCCATAGATCTGACAGGTTAACTATTGCCTGCTCTTCTCATTTATTTATGGTATCACCTTTTATGTCCAAATCATCTACCCATTTTGACCTTATCTTGGTATATGTTGTAAGATGCTGCTCTATACCTAGTTTCTGCCATACTGTTTTCCAGTTTTCCCCAGCAGTTTCTGTCAAACAAGTTCTTCTCCCAAAAGCTTGGGTCTTTGGGTTTCTCAAACACTAGATTACAATGGCCATTTACTACTGTGTACTGTGTTCCTAATCTATTCCACTGATCCACTACCCTACTTCTTAGCCTCAATGGCAGCATGCCTCATCAATCTAATCAAACTTTGATCTTACCCTGTTGCTCTAGTCGCCATGTCAAGCACCATATTTTTCCATTCCTGTTGCTGATATTGCCAGATTCTTGCAGTTCCATCTCTACTTCCACTAACAAATTTCAAACTGTGGAACAAGATTAAAAATAAATGTCTCGTTACTCTAGAATAAAGTATAATCCTACTCTGCAGCTGAATGGCTTGTCTAGATTTGAAAGACCATTTTCAATATGCCTGGTAAGGTTTCCTAGTAAGGGTACGATATGGTCACGAGATCCAAATGTGAGTCCTGCCTCTATCACAAGTGGAATCAATGCCCTTGGGAACTCATGCAGTCTTCCTCTCAGGCTCAGTTTCTTTATAAAATGGAGATAACACATACTCTAATTATCACATTAGGTGGCTATGTGAATTCTCACAAAATTCATGAGAAACATAAAAAGTAATTTCAAGAGAATAAGTACTTTGTCTTCACAAAGCCTTACTGTTAGGAATAAAGGACAATAAATCACTTTAGCAAACCCAAACTTAACAGAAAAGCCATCAGTGGGGTAAAGACTCCAGGAAAAGTTAGCGTCTGTAGTCTTAGAAAACCACTCAGGGAATGAAATACATGCACTAGACCAACTGAAACATCAGATGGTTTGACACTGATTTGGTAATACGCATAACATGCTTTGTTTTTTTTTTTAAAATATATTTCTTTCTCATACATACCAGCATCAAATAAACATGATAGTATGAGATATTCTATCTGGGGACCCAGCAATGCTTTCATAGACTTATAGTGCTGCTTTGGACCTTAAATGTCTTGGTTCTTTTTGTTTTTTTAACGAAAATATTAACACGTATAAAATACTATGCAGCCCTTAGACTCCAAGTCTCACAGCTGATGAAGATACTCCATCTTATAGACACACTATATTTTACTATGTGTCAAAGGATATGAACTAATTCAACAGCATAACTGAATCCATTAAATAACAAAGTGACAGAGATATATACATATTTACTATTTTTCACAGTATTAATATAAATTCCTAAGTACAATTATTAATAATGAGAATGCAAAGTTGTCGTCCTTCCCTTTAAGAAGGAAGACAAGGCTGAATGATTAGAAATGATAATGGCCAAGCTGGGTCCCAAAGAAGAGGTATGAGAAGGCAGCTTTGCCCATTCCTCTGCAAAGGTAGAGGCCTCTGAGAGTGGAACACTGCACATCACGCCACACTTGTTCAAAATGTTGGTTAGGCTTGCTAAGCCTTTTTCTCCCTTGTTTTTATTCTTTATTATAAGGCTGACTCTCTGGGAAGAAAAGAGAAATATAATGGAAAATTAAGATGATGGGAAAACAAAAGATATAAATGGAAAAATAAATATATTTTTAAGGGAAGGAAGGGATGTCTAGCATGCTGATTTAAATGGCTTACATCAGTAGACCAAATCAGCCCTGAATATCAGTTTGGAATTCTGGCAAGATTAGAACAAAGAATATTTACCATGCAGCCAGCCTCATTCAGTATTTTTAGGAGTTAAAAAATGAATCATTGCAATATCCCCTTTTTAAAATAAGATGTTATCAAATAATATGAGGAATAAATACAAATGTCTTCAACAACAGACTCAAAAAAAAATCACATCAAAGTCAATTAATGGTATTTTTTTTTCAGTCCTGGTGCTCATTTCACCTAGGACAAGGGATGGATGTGCAAGGATGCACTGAATCCCTCCTCTCATTTGATTATCAGTGTTCTGAAGAGGACACAAAGAGGCACACGCCACAATCAGTGTCTTCAAGGAGCTTCCGGCTGCAGTGACAGGACAGAGACACTTGAAAAGTTAAAATAGAACACAAGGAAGCAAACAGCAAAACGCCAAATGAGTAGAGCAGACAAGAAAGGTTAGAGCCCAGGTGTCAAACTTCCTGCCCCAGGAGGCCAGCAAAACTCCAGGCTGGACCAGAAGCAGATTCAAATAAATACACATACTAGATAATGTAGATAACGTGAATAATCTGTGGTTTTCTAAGTCTACATGTGGAGGAGCAGTCTGGACACGAGGAGAAAATGTAAAGGAGCAAGTAAAGAAGGCCCAAAGTGTGTGGGCTTCTGAAAAAGAAGAAGGAGGCCAGAGGAGCCCAATGAGAGAACACACAGAAATGCCGTTCTGATTGCCAGAGACAGAGAATGGGTTGGTAATCACACAAAGTCTGGAGAGGAGCCCAGTGGGTATTTTGTTTGTACTGGGGAGAAGGAAAGGCAGGAAATTACTAAGACAAACAGATTTGAAAAGAATAGAGAAGGCTTCTCTGCACTAAAAAGATGTATGATAAATGCCAAACTCCCACCAAATTATACTAAAATTTGGATGATAAACTTACCTGTCTCCATTGTTACAAAACTGAACTGCAACAACTTTGTCCTAAGATATAAAACAGAACATTTTTGATTAGAAAGAACTGAATTTTCAAGCAATAAATACAAGGTGTGGTCTTTCTCCTTTCATATTCATATGGAAAACGGAGAAGGAAATTTTGACAAATGGAATCTTCAATCATTCTGGATTCCTAAAATTAAAAGTGGAATATTTCATTTCCTGAATCAGCAAATTAATAATTAAAATAAATGATTATTGGCATCAACCTAAGACAGCTCAAATAAAACAAGATTTTTTTTCTGTTTAGCAGTAAACTAGAATCCAGGTAAACTGGGCAGTTCAAGGTGAGAACTTTCTACACATCACCTTTCTTCTGACAGAATTCTAAGCTCAGATGCCTCCACAAAATAACTGTATTCTTAAATGTAACTGTCTAGATGAAAATCTATAAATTTTTGTTCTATTTTAGTAGGCAAATGAGTCACACCCTCCAGTTTGTTTCATTATACTGCAACAGAAGTGTTTGACATTTAGTGTGCACTTCATTTCAGGCACTATTTGAATGTATTTTTAAAAAATAATTAGCCGAAAATTAATAAAGCAGCTTTCCCATTGTTTTTCTTCTTTGTCATAAGGGATTGCTCTCTGGGCAGTGGGAGGAAAATGGAGGTGATACAAAAAAAAAAGAGCAATAAAATTTTTAAAAGTAATTTTCAAAAATGATTAACCAGAATATTTTTTAAAGGTATATGTCTGGAAGATTGATTTAGGTTGAGGTCTAAATAACAAATATCCTTTTTTTTCCCTGCTTACTCCAGTCCCTTTAAAAAAAAATCCAACTAAAAGATAACTCAAAACTACATGTCTTTTTACAACTAGTAAATTTGCCCAGCTGTGCTTATGCTTAATTTTTAATAAAAGTGTTCAATTATTAATGGCTTTAATTTTTTCTCCCCAGTTTAAAAAGCTAACACAGATTGTGTGATGTTTAGAAGCATCCCTGACTCATCCTCCTCCAGATTTCCTTACGTTATGTTTTAACACAGGATCTGGCCTTCTACTGCCAATTTCAATGGCTGCTTTCCGATGTTCTGAAGGCAAGCCTTCTTCATACCGTCTAACAGCCATGGATTTTTTTTTAATCAGGGAGCATTTGCTTTTTCTGACTTTTCTTCATTATTTTATGCTCCTCCACTAATAAAAATATGCTAATATATACCATTCTTCTACACCCTTCCCAAATTCCATTTCTTTTCTTCCAAGTCTTTCCTGTATTACCCACCTTCAATCCTTTACTCTCAACCCTTGATGACCTTGCAAACAATCCCAGTACAGGTTGTAGTTAAAAAATGGATCTTTAAGCCTGCCCCAGCACATATATGAATAACTAACCCCCCCACACACTTGGGATAGAAGAGGAATTTGCTTAGCAGACACACAACCAAAGTCTCAAGTTTTTGCTGCTGCACAGTTAGTGGCTAGCCAGCCCACGACTGGGTTATCAATGAACAATTAAGAGAAAGAAGAAGGCACAATTGTGGTTCAAGAGCAGAGTCTAAATATAGGTTCTTAAACTAAGAAAAGCAGCAAGTGTCAATAATCCCAAAGGCATAAGGGGCAAAGGTTACAGACAGAAGTCTAGATTGCAGCTAATTTCTGAAACATGAATAAAATTCTGTGCCCAAATGTTTCAGAGAAACTTTTTATCAATGTATAAATACCATTCCCGAGGAGGCTTCAATACTGATTGGAAATGAAAACATACAGAAATATAAAGCTGAGTACTTTTCATTTCTGTCTTGACCATTTTGGCATGCAGAGTTACAGAGGGCTTCTTAAGCAACAGCAGCATTCCCTCACACCAGGTTCCAGAGCCAGTAAGCATCTAGATTGTGGGAAGGGGATGTGTGGAAGGTGAACAGGGGGAGAACTGTACTACAGTGGCCCCACATTTCCTGAAAAAGCCACAGGGGACTGAAGATAGCCAGACACAGAAAGGTGCCAGTCACCAGCAGCCTTCACCCCAAGCAAGCAGCTGTTCCCTATGTGAAAGGCTGTTATTGATAACTAAGTGGGATTACTTTCCATTAAGTCTTTGATGAATTTCTGAAAACAATCATACTAAAATCAACAAACTCAATTCCATCAAAGAAACTTTTTCTGAGACATACTTAATATTATTATGTCTTCTACTAAGCATGTAGATTTTTCAAAGAAACAAGTAGCATAACAAAAAAATCTGATTTAAAAAAAGGATTTTCACAAAATTTCAATGTAGTTTTTCAAAGAAACAGCCACGTATGTTTTCATTTCTTCCAATGTAACTTGAAGGAGAACTTCTCATTAACATTTACAGACATACTAAATAAAGCCTAAATGGTATACTGATCTATCTTCATTACTACACAAAGATACCTTGTCAAGGTACCAAAAAAAAAAAAGCTCTCTAAGTTATATAACACAGACATATATTAAACAGGATACAGGCATAAAAAGAAATGAAACTAACTGCATGGAGGAAAACTGAAATTTCTCATTTCACTCTTACCGTATGTGACTCTAACTCAGCAATTTTTTCAGGGGACTCTGATCCCAAGTAATATATTCTAATCACATGGTCAGTGCTACCTGTAACAATGAACATGCCACCTAGAGGGGGGGAAAAATGAAAGGTGACCAAAAGAACTTAAATCTTTGAGATTAACTTTCAGGATAGTATGCTATATACTCATTTGAGTAAAATGCTAGCAAGGCATATAAGATTCTCCCCTTACCATCAAAGAAAAATTCTATTTTTAATGAAACAAAACCAAACAGAATTAAAAAACCCAAACAATACTGAAAACCCAAGAGCAGTATAAAAAGCTAAATCAATTATTTAACAAAACACACAAAAAGCACACTGAAAACAGACATGAACTTTAAAAAGCAGCCACAACCAAAAGAAATTCATTTCCTTAAAATTTATGTAAAAGCAATACATGAAATTAATTATAAGGTGAATTCTATTGTATAACTGTCCACTGCATGGAAGACTCCAAAATGGAAAATAATTTTCGTTAAGAAGGCATTAGGCTTGTAACACTACCAATACTTTAAAGCTCACTGAATAGCCATGCGATATTTTCAATCATAACTGAACAAGGCCCACCACCCAGGTAAACAAATTGCCCTGAGATTCAATCCATCTTGGATGATTATGTCTCAACAATGTCGTCATTATCATTAGGCAGCAATGGGCCAGATGTTGTGCTGAAAGCCATTTATGTCGACTGTCCCCAGCTCTCTTGGGGCTTACGGCCAAATGAAATGCTTCGTTTTCCTTCTTCCAAATAAACCACATGCCATTCAGAATTATAAGATGCAGAAAAAAATTAGGGCTAGAAGAAAACTTACACATGAAGGCTTTCACAACTCCCAAAAGAAAAACACTCAAGAGGATAATTTTAGAAAGAAAAAAAGAAACAGCCTACACACAAGTTCTGTATGTATAAAAATATCATAACAAAAATTAAAATAAAGAACTCTTAAAGCAGCTATTTCTCATCCAAAAAAAATAAATATGGAATCCAATTGAAGCAGCATCCTTTTGATGCTACACATTCTACTATCTCCATCTCAATATGTCAACTTGTCTTCCACCAGTACAGCTGGAAGGGGAAGACACTGGGCACTTTCAACAAACTACTCAGATTATATCAGACTTATTTATGTGTTTGTGACATGGCCCATCTAGGATACTGCACTGAAAACTCCTTGAGGACAGGGGCTACAAACAAAACTTTTCATCTAGCTCAGTACCTTGCAGTAAGCATTGTAATAAATATTTGTTAAATCGAATTGAAATAACTGAGGATGTGAAGGTTTGAGAAAGACTAATTCCTACTTTCACTGTAGCACTGAGGAAATCTTGAGACAAATGCACAGGGAATAAATTGTGTGCGTGTGTGTGTGCGCGTGTGTGTGTGTGTGCATGTGTAGAACCCTGTAACTGGGGAAAATGGTGGAGTGGGAAGGGGGGCAGAGATGGTTTGCCATAAAAACAATAATGATTAACCTTAAATAGCACTTTATGTTTTGAAAACACTTTAAATGTATTATCTCATTTGATCTTCAAAATCCTATGAGATATGTGCTATTATCTTCATTTTATAGGTGAGGAAACCAAGGCTGAAAAGGCTTAAGTGACTTGCCCGTGTTAATAAATCAATCACTATAATGACTAAGGAGGCATTAGAACTAAGGCCTTCCTGACACCAACAGCAAGATGGAAAAGCAAAACTAACTGCCATGTTCACATCGTTGTCAGTCAATGCTCAACATCACATGGTGGTTATCTAAATCAGTAGACTACCAAAAAGATTGGTTACTTCTCATTCATTCAACAAACATTAAATGCCTACTGCGTACAGAGCACACGATAACAGAGACAACAAAACTGTTGCTGCCTTCCAGGAATTTGCATTCTAACAGGGATGTGAGGGGAGGTGGGAAGAGGGCAAGAAAAATTCCCCATCAAAGGTGGCATCTGATAGGAGCTTTTAAAGGAAGCTAAGCATGTGAGAAGCACATTCCAAGGCACGGGCAGGGGGAAGCACATGTGAAGGCACAGCATGGGAGATGGAATGTTTCCACTGGCTAGATAAGACCAGGTCCCTGCCCTCATGGGGCTTACAGTCTAAAAGGGGGATAAATACACACACAGATAATCTTGATATCCAGTAAATGTGGCAGACAAGGGCAGACCAAATATTATATTCACCAACCTACACACTATTCCTGTATGTAATAGCATCTCCACTGGGAATTTGGAGGTGGGAAGGAAGAGATCAAACATAAATGAAGTTACACTTATATTTGCTATGTGTTAGCTGGTAAAGTTTGGTAAGGAAGAAGGGGACTGAATGGGAGTAAGAGATGAAGATTGGGGACTCTCTTTAGGTTACTTCATGGTCTTTCCCCTGCCTTTCATAGCAATTATGCTCAAGCCTTAAAAAACTAAACTGGCCTTACATTTCACTTAAAGTCCCAAAAGGTCTGTCACACTTGGTTTACGTAGGCATCCATTCATCAAACATCAAAAGGTGTCAAAAGAAGCATTTTTTTTTGTTACCACATCACCGAAGGGGAAAATAAAATCTATATATGTAGGAATTTTCCATAACATTTTAACTGTTTGGTGAAACAAGGTCAACTTCAATATTTTTACATACATACCAGAACTAAAAGAAGAGCAAGAAATTTGAACCCCAGGTCTGGACCTCTCAGTAAATTTCAGTGGACGATCCCTAAAAAAACAAGCACTAGTTGTTATCATCCTCTACAAATTTTAAAGAAAAACACTACTCACCGAATGGGGAATTCAACACACCTTATATAAGACTGATATAAGGCTGATGTAAGGCTTGCATTGTAGACTGGAAGTAAATCCAAGTCTGAGATATCATTCCCTAAATGCAATGTCTGGCATCAATATGCTTAAGGTCAATGCACACTGGTACCAGATAATGTATATCAGTGAAATGGTAGTGGGGATTCTCACTAAAATTTCTAAATATGCTTTTCAAGGCCTATAATCCATCATTATTACCTCTAACAGTAACAACAACAACAAAAGCCTTGTGTTTACATAACACTTAAAGGCTTACAAAGAGCTTTCCAATTATCATCTCATTTAATCCTCACCACAACCCTGGAAGGTAGGTGCTATTATCATGCCCATTTTACTGATGAAGAAAATGAAGCAGATAAAAGTTAAGTGACTTGCCCAGGGTCACACAGCTAGTAAGTGTCTGAGGATACATTCAAACTCAGGTCTTGACTGGTCTCAGGATCCAGCATTCTACCCTGTGTGTCAATCTAAGTGAACTGCATTCAATTTATTGTGTTACTTCACAATTTGATTACAATGGGGCCCTAATTCCAAATAGATGAATTTTGTCAATCACAGGAAATTTTAACAAATAGTCTCTTTAACATTACCTGGACAAGGATTCTTATTCTAAAATTTGACACAAATCTACCAAACCAATAAATGTATCTCCCTTGCATGGCATCAGCCAAAGAATTTCTCGGCTCAGAGGAGGTGGTTTTTAGTAAGTTTATCGTTTTCTGAGTAAGCTGCTCATGCCCACTCTTGCTTACTTGAATTTCAGTGTGTTCACGTGCCACTGCCAGAAGCAAATTGTTCCATCAGCACCAGTTGAAGTGAGGTAACGGGTTGTTCCTTTCCTTGCTGGGCAAAACTAAGGAGGAAAGCAAACCAAAATGATTATTTTCAGGCCTACATTATTTCAAACCTTTAAATAACAACTTATTTCAATTAATATATTTTAAAAGTTTAACTCTCGGAGCAGCTAGGTGACGCAGTGGATAAAGCTCTGGCCTTGGAGTCAGGAGCTCCTGAGTTCAAATCTGACCTCAGACACTTGACACTGACTAGCTGTGTGACCCTGGGCAAGTCACTTAACCCCAACTGCCTCACCAAAAACAAAAAAAGAAAAAAAAAAGGTTTAGCTCTCACACTCTGACCAATTAGTAGCTTGTTTATGAAAAATTGTTAAGAAATGTAACAAGAAGTTAAATTTAAAACATTTTTGTTCCAGGGGGCAGTCAGGTGGTGCAGTGGATAGAGTACCGGCTCTGGAGTCAAGTGGACCTGAGTTCAAATCCGGCCTCAGACACATAACATTCACTAACTGTGTGACTCTGGGCAAGTCACTTAACTCCAAATGCCTCATGAAAAAAAAAAAAACAACAAAAAAACACAACCCAAACTACACATGATAATAAAAATCATTGAGTTTAAATCACACAAAGTAAAAAACATTTTTGTTCCACAAAAGACTTGAAGACCATTTTGTTATTTTTGTTATCTAAGTTCAATTTATTCACCTGTAAACGGAGGTAATATCTGCCCTTTTTTTAGAGCATCATAATTTGGGTCAATTTAAATTATATATTTTTGCATGTGCAACAAAATAAACCAAAAAGAATTCAGTATTAATATGTTAAATCATGTATATGTAAAACTTCACATAAAATCTAAAATTTTTTAAATTCAGTAGACCTCCAGCCAAGATGGGTGGCAGAACAGAGGCAAATCACCAAGTTTCAACCTACCTACTCTAGAAAAAATCTAAAATTGCAAACATACCTAATAACGACCACAAAATCCAATGAGAAGCTATAAGAACTGACTCATCTGACCCTAGAACTGTAGAAAAAGTCAGACAGAAGCCCATGAGCTAGAGGAAACGAGGGCACCAGCAAAGACAGTGCCAGTACAAACAAATCTATAACCTCCCAGCGGGAGCAGAGATGTTTATGCCTTACAAGGGTCTGTTTCCAGAATGCAACATTTCAAAGGGCAAAAGATACAAGCTTATAAGCAGCAATAATTTACCCTACCCTACCTACATAGACCTACAGGTGGAAAAAATGGACCCTTAAAGATGACTTCCTATCATTTCTGATGAAAAGACCAAAGCTGAGTAGGAACTTTGAAACTCGAACATTAGTCAAAAGAAACCTATAAAGGTATATTCATTTGAGTAACTGGAAGGAGTTTTATAAGGTTGAAGTGCCGCCAGTCTAATGGAGACAGAAGAAATGTGTGTGTCCCTTCAGAACTGTAATGTTTTCAAAGGGTGCTGAGGGAGTTAAGAGAGACAAAGGACCTGGAGGGAGAACAGTTTTGTTGTGAGAGTTTTAAGAGAAAAAGGAGAAGGGGGTTTCAAAGGAACACTGGTGTAGAGAGGCTAGACCTTGCTAATTCTCCTAATTGGGGTGTGTGAGAAGCAAAGCATACACAAATGGAGGAAGGGATGTGGAGAAGGGACATCAGACAAACCTGACTGTTATTTATCTGAAACAGACAAAGGAGGGTTAAATACACACACACACACACACACACACACACACACACACACACACACACACAGAGTTTGGTGTAGAAATACATCAAACTCAACAGTGAAATAAGCAGGGCTAGAGAATGGGGAGGTTAAGAGGGAGTTTAATACTGAAGAATGAATAGCCACATGCAAAACAAACTTCCTGATCCTGAAAGGGGGGATTAAAAGGGAAAAAGCAAAGAAAAGAAGGTGCCCATCAATTGGGAAATGAAAAGGGAAGCAACTATTCATCTTCCAAATTAAAAATGCACAGATTCTTTTTATTTCAATATAAAAACCTTTCAACTCCAGAGAAGCCAATAAAACCCAGTATGTGCTCAATTCCTCATGAATGGGTGGGATGTCCCACAAATAACTAGTTGAGCTCAAATTAACAGCGGAAGAATGAAAGGATGCACCACGTTGGGACGTCCCGCCAGAGCACGGTGGCCCAAGCGCTCATTTCAGAAGGCTCATGCTGCTCTTCGGCTCACAACACAAAGGGAGGAAAAGTATGACTTGAATCAATGGTTTGGCCAAAAAGCTGCTTTAGGAGTCTCCAGGAGAGTCAGTAAAACACACCTGGAAGAGGTCCTTCCCTGGCAAACATTTCAAGAAGGGGATGAAGCTGTTAGGAGCTTAGATGTCAAATTCCAAGCTTGTGTGAAAGGACAAGTAGGTGATCAAATGTCGATGTCGCCAGAGCTCAGAACAAATCTCACTCACCAAACACGAAGACCTCTACACAAAGAAGCAAGGCAAAACCTGTTTCTATCCTCAAAAGGTTTTCTGTACTCCTCAAGGCACTAAGCCCTTTGGCCCTCCCTAATTCTTGAAAAGCACCCAGAATACACTCAGGGGTCAGCCTTTTCAAAGAAAAAAGGTCCTCTTTGATAATACAGCATTTCTTACTTCCCTTTACCTTCCCCTTCAACAAGCAACAGCTGAGCAGTGCTCATCCTTGCGTGCAGGCTGTATCCCACCCCTTGCCCCCCAAAGCCAAGCACAGGGACGATGGGCATTTTTGCTTCCTTTTTGCTCACCTGTATGGAAGTAATAGATGCTGAATGCCCCTGAAGGACAGCAACTGGTGCACAGGTTTGAAGACACCATACTCTGACCACTTTATCACAGCTGCCAGCAGCAAGAAGCGTGTTTTCATAGTTGACAGCCATGTCAGAAATTTCGGCAGAATGCCCGCGTAGTGTAGAGAGGAGCCGCCCATCATCAGTAGCCCAAATTTTTACCAAACAGTCATCCGAACCCTGTAATTACAAGGACACAAAATAGTACAGGGAAGAAAACAGTTAATGGACACAAAAGCAGCCATTTCAATAGAGCTCGAAGGCTTGCGATGTTTCTCATTTGACCCTTTCATGAGGTAGGTACTACAGGATTCTTTAAAAAAAAAAAAAGAATGGATTCTTATCCTCATTTTACAGAATAAGAAATTGAGAGTTAGCCTGCCTGTAATCTATCCAACCAGTAAATCCTGGCGAGGGGATACCAACATCACTGATTCCGAGGCCATTGCTCTTTCCACCATACCATGCTGGAGTCCCCACGTCTCAGGGTTTTGCTATTTAACCCCCAAAATATTTATAGCAGTGTTTGTTGTTGTTGCCAAGAACTGGAAATAAGGTGGGCTCCCATCAACTGGGGATTAGCTGAGTCAATTATGGCAGCATATTAACGTAACAGAATATTGCTGTGATATAAGGAATAATGAAAGCAAGGAAACCTGAGAAAATGTTTATCAAATGACAGCCAGTGACGTGAGCAGAATCAGAGACTAGAAAGCAGTGTGGCGGAAAGATGCCTGGTTTTGGTTTACAACAGCAGTGGGTCAAAATGAAAGAATAGACTGACTCAAAAAATCACAAGTTAGCATTATCTACTATATTTTATGGTATTTTTATTTATTTTGCTAAACATTTCCCAATTGCATTTCAATCTGGTTCAGCAAAACTCTGCAGTAAGTTTGAAACTCTGGTGTAGAAGATCTGAATATGAATTCTAGCTAATCTTGAGGTCTAACCCTCGGGAAGTCATTTTGCTCATCTATGCTTCCAGTTTCTTCATCTGCAAAATAAGAGGATGGGAATGGATGGTCCAAGGTCCCTTTTAACTTTAAAACTACAATTTTCTGAACTCCTATTTCCAGGCTAATTACCCCTCACTCCTCACCACACAGTCTATGTTCCAGTCAACTGGCCTCCTCACTATTCCCCACCAAAGTCACCCACCGCCTCTTGCCTCTGTCAGCCAGCACAGACCCATTCCTAGATGGATCTCCTTACTTAACCCCTCCCCTCTTTAGAAGCCCTAACTCCCTTTAAGACTCAGCTGACTCTTTACTAGCTATGTGACCCTGGGCAAGTCACTTAACCCCAATGGCATTGCCAAAAAAAAAAAAAAAGACTCAGCTGACTCTTACCTCCTATAAAATGCCTTGCCTGATTTCTTCTGTCTCCATCTCCCCCGACAACAACTTTTAATTTATTTGTTATCTGTTCTGTATGGACTTACACAGGGACTATTCTGAACTGATACACAATGAAGAACACAGAACCAAGAGCAAAATAAAAATGACTAGAATTAACTGAAATAAAAATACTGCAAGAGGCTTGCACTCCAATGATAATGAATAGGGCAAGCACATAATCAAATACCTTTCCTCTCTCTAGAGAGGTAGATGCTGATAGGGTCACTGTTTTTATTACTTAATGTTTTTTACTTCGTTAACAAAGGGTTTAATCGGGGAAGCAAAGCAAACAAGTGGGGGAAGTCAATAAAACTTTTTAGCTTAAAAAAAAAAAAGAGAACATGATCATAGGCCGGGTTTCCTTTAGTTCTTCTGCCCTTTTCATTAAAATACAGAATCTAAAGCTATCTCAGAGGGAATCCACTAGTCACCTCAATAAGTGGGGTATCCAATCTTTGCTTGAAGATGCCAAAAGGAAGACACCTCCTGCCACCTGAGACCGCTCCAAATGCCAACATTTCATTACACTTAGCTTAAAAGAGCCATGACTCTCTAATGACAAACAAGAACGGGTCTAATCCCTTCTTCCCCACGGCAGCCTTTCAAATACTTAAGAGACAGCCATTGGACCTCTTGTCAATTTTCTCTAATAACTTCAGATCAATTGAAACACATCCAGAGCTATGGTTTTATTTACTAACTTCAAGCTTGACTATCCAGGTACAAGGATCATATAGCTGTCGATTTACTAAGAAAAACTGGTAATCAACATGCTATGTGAAAAAAATAGAAAAATGCATTCAAGAAACAATTTATATGAAATAAACTTTTCATCATAAAACTATCAGGGCTTGCATGCATTTAACGTTTTAAAATTAAATTTTCCAAAAGAAGAAAATACTGATTGAGAATATAGAATAACTGATGAGGGGAAATCAAAGCTTCTACTAATATCTTTTTCTTTATTCAAAGTCCTTAATAAAGGAACTTGGTGCTTATGAAAACACATTGGCATGAAATCTACGTTCTTGATAAATTGTGAATATGACATGGTATCATAAACTTTAAACTCACTGTGAAAATTCTTCTCCCACTTCGGTCAAATGCTACACAGTAGACAGATGATAAGTGACCCAGAATTCTCTTGTGCATCTTCATTTGTTGGTAAGAAGATGAGGGGAATATATGGCTGAAGCGACCACATCCAGTTAACTGTCTGGCAGAAGTGATCGTTACTGGAAAAACAAATAGGAAATTGATTTTAAACCCGTCTCATGATATTGTTATGAAATAAGATTCTATGATTATCTATGAGAAATGTTGACAAAATGGGATGCACAACACCCTATCTCACCCACTGGCAGGGCCAAAAATGCCTTTCAAAATCAACAATCTGCAGATCACTTTTTGTTCCCACTCAAACATTAAATTCCTAATGTCTCCACGATTCTTTTTGTCAGGTTTCTCCCCCCCCCTTACAGTCCAGAACACAGTCAAGTTCAAGTATCTAACTACCCTAACATGTGGGGCTTCTAGGATAGGGCTAAGTTCTATCAAAAGTAGTTTCATGCTATTCAGTTACAATGGCACAGACTTAAAATAAGAAATAATCTCTTCTGCACCTTCCTGTAGTCAATCTCCATTCCTACAGGTCCTTAACCATCCATCAACTAGGCTTCTACTACCTTTCCAATAGTGGATCTGTCTATTATCATCTTACGTGACATCGGCAAAATACTTCCCTTATCCAGGTCTCAAATTCCTCATTTCCAAAATGAGGGGTGGCATTATCCAGCAATTAGGGGATGGGTGGATAAACTGTGGTGTACAAACATCTTCGAATATTAAGCCAGAAGAAATGAGAAAAAGCAAGTATAAGCAAATAGGAAGCATCACAGAGAGGAGGGAAAAAAAGTATTATCAAACCCCAACATACAGATGGCAGCCCAAAGCACACAACAATAGTGGCATTTACAGAAAAACAGGGAAAGAGTTTAAAAAGAGACACAGAAACTAAAAGGTAACTTGCTACTATCTTGTTAGAGGAAAAGTCTAGATTTTTTATTTTAACCACAGTATTAGTGTAGTATACGGATTCTTGAGACTCTTGATTGTACATGGGTCCGGTTTTACTTTTATTAATGGTTATGGATTACGAATGAAGACACTGAATCAGATGACATCCAGGCTCCTTCCAAAGCTCTGAGCTTCCACAGGTGTGGGATGGTCCCTAGAGTGAGAGGGACCTTTCCTCTTCCAGCAATAGATACACCCACTTTGGGGCTTTTCCCCAAATGCCTGGCTGGCTGTGCAGTCACACACTTCAGTAATTCAACAGATTCTTCACTGGCTCTGACCCACGAACCCTTTTACGTTCTCTACCCTTATCCCCCAGACTTCAATACGGGCTCTTCCAGGGATGCATCAGGAAAAGGACAGTGACCAAAGCCCAGGTGACAGAACAGCAAAGTGTGGGCACTAGGTTCTGGTAGGCCCAGGTGGGGGCACCGTGCTCAATTCTATGTGCCACATTTTAGGATGGACGCTAAAGAGACAGGATGTGACATCGTATGAGCAAAAGCTGCAGGAACAGAGGAAGGAAGACCTTTAGGGCAAATATAATTCCTATCTTCGGTTTTTGGAGGGTAATCATCTGAAAGAGGGATTAGCCTTGTCCTATTTAGCCCTTGAGATCAGCAATAATAGCAACAGAAGAAATATCAATGAGGCAGATTTAGGGAACAAGGAAAAACTCTTAACAAAGAGAGGGATTCAAAATTGAAATGGCCTGAGCAGGCTGGATGCTCTTTGAATGGAGATCTTATAGAGAACCCTATCCAGGTTCCTGTTGGATTAAATGACCTCTAAATTCCCTTTGAATTGCTAAACTCTATGCCAAATTGTGATTCCATTTTAAAACAAAATAACCTAAAAATCATCTCTTACACTGTTTCTTTGTTGACCTTTCCTCGTTTTAAAAAACAATCATCCCCTGGCTCTTTACAAGTCAACACTCCCCAGCCTCAAACAGACAAACCTGTCCTACCCATCCCCTTCCCATTAGACTTGGCCTCTTTTTTGTATCCTGAGCCCTTAGCACAGTGCCTGCGCTTAAGAAGTATTTACTAATTGACTGGAATCCACCCTATGGCACCCTACATGTAGGATGGAGCTCCCCATAAACATGGCCCTAATTTAGGAGTGCCTAATATGATTACATGTTAAAAACAAGTACTCCCTGGCACATTATAACATTTAAAAGAATTAAGATACTATATTTACACTTCCAACTAAATTCCCTCAATTCACGGTCATCTCAAGCTGAAAAAGCATTCTGTAACATAGTACGAAAAATGAAGCATAATAATAATTATAATAATTATGAGCGCTAACATTTAGATAGTGTTTATGATGTACCGAGCACTTTGCAATTATTATCTCATTTGATTGTCATAACAACCCTGGGAGGTAGGTGCTACTATTATCTCCATTTTACAAATGAGGACACTAAAGCAAACAGAGGTGAAGTGACTTGCCCAGGGTCACACAGCTAGTAAGTGTCTGAGGCTGAATATGAACCCAGGTCTTCCTAACTCCAGCCCCATCACTCTGTCCACTACACCATCTAGCTGCCCAACCTCAACCCTAATTCCAAGTACAGTTACTCCTGTCTTACACAAGGTAAATTTATGGCAAGATTATGGTCCTGGCTAAATCATAACACTTGTTGCAATCAAAATTACAAGTTAATCAACTTTTCTATAGGGAAATAGGAAGAGAAGACTTATAGCCTCTAACAAGTCCAAAAGTTCATGTCTCCAGGCCCAGATAAACTACATCCTGGGGTGATGGGAGAATAAGCAGGCATGATTAGTGAGGCCCTTGTAGGGATTTTAGAAAGACTGATGGAGAACTCGTGAGGTACCAGAAAATTGGAGAAGAGGGAAAAGGTTATCCTAATTTTCAAAAATGGAAGCTCAGGCAGTATGCAAGCTACAGACTAGGGAGCTAGCTCCAAATTCTTGGCAAAGTTCCAGAATGTATTACTAAAGCATGCTTATTGAACAACTATGTAGAAAGGAGGGAGTGATCACAAACCCCAGGTCATACTAGACTAACCTCATTTACTCTTTTTTTTTCTTTAACAGTTCTGAGGCTAGGAACCTTCCTGGCAAAGGGGCTACTGCACTGGACACAGAGTCAGGCAGAGCTGGGTTCAAAGGTTCACACACAATAACACCATGGGACTCTGGGAGTCACTGGACCTCCTGAACCTAAGTATCCTTGGTGATGAAAATGAGGATAATAATAGCACTAACCTCACAGTGCTGTTGTGAGGATCAAATGAATTAATATGTAAAATACTCTGAAAACTCTGTCAGCTGTCACTATTATAATTCTGATGCCTCAGCTTGGCAGGGAGGTTTCCAAGACTAAGGCCAGGCTCTGCTGAGGTCTCCAGTGAAGTCTCTATCTGCTTTCTGAGATCCAGCCTGGCTGGCAATGGAGAGGCTCATCACCAGTAGGCCTGCTGCTTGTGATAAATTATTCGGCCAGAAAAACCCATCAAACATACAAAAATATAAATGACCTTCAGTCCTGTCTGGAGCCTTCCATTTCTTCACTGAAAATGGCAGAGTGCCAAGAAAGGGGCCAAAGTGTGCCAAGAATACCAGTTTTAGATTGGCTACTGGGAGATCCTTGTCTCATGACAGAGTAGACATAATGCAGGAGCAAGTGAATCCTCCCAACCCAGACATCCTGGCTATAAATGAAACTCAAAAACAAAAGGAAGCTATAGCAAAATCAAAAGATGCTTCATAACTTCTCAGAGAAGAGAAGAAGGGAGCTGGCAGAGTTGGCTTTATCATGTATCCAAAGGTATCATTTTATAAAGCATTTAAGTACTGATTGTTGATAAGCATTTACAGGAAGATCATTGCAGCTCACAGACTAACATCTGGGGCCAAGCTGAGGATTAGGAAGGGAAATTCTACAAGAACTCGATAAGACCCATCTCCAAAGTGACTTGAAAAAGACTTTAATACCCAGTGACTTCAATGCAAATGTGGGAACAAAAGGCAGGTCAGTGAAAAAGATGTTGGAAATCATAGTTTAAGAATAGAAAATGAAAGAAGCCAAGTGTATTGGCTGTAGAAAAGCCCCACACCTACAAAACAGTCAAGAAAAGGCACAACAATATTGTAAACAAAAGGAGAATCAAAATGAAGTTGGAAATGTAATGACTTCTTAGCTCTGAGAAGAAAAGGGTTTTGCTTAACAGGTTTTGTTTTGGTTTTTTGGGTGGTGGTAGTGGTGGCAGTGGTAGTGATGAGGGATAGAGTAGGAGAGTACCTAGGAATTACTGAGATTTAAAAGGAACCTATAATATTATTTAAAAGAGAGTCACGAGGTCTTAGGCATGACAAACCTCAAATATCACTCAAAAAATTGACAACAAATTATATTTTGACAGGAAGCAACTGGTTATAATCATAGGAATTGATTCCCAATCAGCTATCTGGGTATGGTCATTTCTGACGGAAGTGTTAGGAAAAAAAGATCAACACTGACACCAAGCTGAGTAAAAAGGAGAAGACAATGACCTGTAACCACTCCAACCTGGTCAGGTTTTTTTTTTAAACCGTTGACTAAGAAAACCAGGAAGTAGACAAAAGAGACATCAACACAGACTAGAAGCATTTCCTAAGGAAGTTTGACCATGTATGTCAATCATTTGTGAGTCTAAAGTACAAAGCTAGCATATACTTGATCACCTTGCCAAGTGGAGAAAGAAAACAGCCGAACTATTTACACAATCTTACAGGAGATGATAGAATGATAGAACAGTATAATCTCAGCAAATAGTACGAAATAGTCCAGATTCAAACAAGTTTGGCAAGAAATCCATCTAAATAAAATCATCCCAAGCATATTTAAGGATGAAACTGGAAGGATAACAAACAAACAAAGGGAAACAATCTGTAAAGATTTCTTATGCCTTTCCTCTAGCAATGACAATGGAGCCAGTACATTCGTACACCAACATTAAAGTGACCAAAACGCTGCACGAGGAAGTAAAAATTGCACTTTTAAAAAACAAAAAGGAAAGAACAGCTGGGTAAGACTAAGTATACATGGAAAACACCAAAGCTACTAACACTATTTAAGGTAATGATGTTTATAAAAAGGCTTATGATTGAAGGCCAAAAAAATAGGTGAAGAGATAATGTTT